ACCAGCCGACAGCCTGCCTCTCAGACCAGCCGACAGCCTGCCTCACAGACCAGCCGACAGCCTGCCTCACAGACCAGACAACAGCCTGCCTCACCATACAGCCCATTTATAGACTTAATCTGAAATTACAATAAAATGTATTACCTTACTGATCTATGGTAGGCGTTTATAATAATAATTCATTGTCGAGGGACAGGAAGCCAGAGTGTATACATACACGTTTTTTACTTTTATCGAGGTCCCCCCCCCTCCACTCCCCCCAAGGCCGACTTACAGAACCCGTCCAGGATGCAACCCCACAACCCGCTGACTTAGCTCTTGAGTACCTACTTACTGCTAGGTGAACAGGTGCATTAGGTGAAACGAAATGTGCCCAACATTTCTGTCCCGCCCGGGATTCGAACCCAGAATTGTGAGTCGAGAACGAACCCAACGGTACTACCGGGACCCATATAATAATATATGATATATTATATATTAGTATATTATATATTAGCATATTATGTTAGTATATTATTATATTAGTATATTATGTTGACCAGACCACACACTAGAAGATGAAGGGACGACGACGTTTCGGTCCGTCCTGGACCATTCTCAAGTCGATAGTATATTATATATTAGTATAATATAAGTATAATAATAATATCTGGGAAGGTTTGAACACACCACCAATCTTAATCCAGTATTCTTGGCTTACTTTTATTAGGCTGTGTAGAAAAAAATAGGACATGGTATATTAGCCATACGAGTCGTTTGTACATAGATTTTATGTTTTATTTAATAAAGAAAAATTTACATTGTTATTACTCCAATCTATCCAATACGGAAACAAACTCCCCTGGTGAGTGTGGTATAAATTAATTCACCTTAAGGCAATTGAATGATGTCCCTAGCCACCCTTTGCTTGATCTCTATTAAATGATGGTTTCACAAGGTATCTTGCCAAAAAATGGAAACAATGTCTCATATAAGCAATTCCTAAACCAAGTGAAAAATTTAGGACCATTTCACTCACATCTTGCATATAATGTAAGAAAAGCATCAATATGAAAATGAGTTATTACTACAAGATCAAGTTATAGTTACATTACATATATTACATAACTGATGCATTACATTGTCAGTCTTGGGTACAAGTCCAGAATATCATCAGGTGTTCCAGTATTCTGAAAATATTTACATAGTTCAACATATCTCAACTCAGGGGGCGATATTCAGTCAGAATGGAACATTCTATAATATAATGGTCAAGGGAATAAATGGTTTCTCTTTTACAAATTTGACACAAGCAGTATATGTAGTACAGTGTACTGAAACATCCTTGTTTAGATTTCTTAAGGCTGTGCTAAATTGAACTAAATTATAAGCATAACCAAGGCAGTGGAAAAACGCAAGAGGAATCAATTAACAATTAAAGCAATGCCAAACAAATTATAAAATAGATCACTGGACCTGAAAGTCTTCGTCAAACAACATCAGTGAAGTAATCCTGAAATACACCTGTAATGGATAACAACAGTTGGATGACATTCCCAACATTCAACAAGGTCAGGTGGAGAACGTCAATGCAAATTACTATCAAGTATACATTGAGGAGTTACATCCAGGATTTCTTATGAAACACAATATTAGATAATTTTAAAAACAGTATGTCTATAGCAAAGGATTAAAAACGATAATTAAGTTTCTTTCTTGAGACAAAACATTGGTGTATTAAAATATCTGGGTCAAATCAACATTGTTCTAAGTGTTCGCGGCTCCATTGATCAGTCTGTGCAGCTTCAGAGCTCGACGAGAAATTGATCTTATAGTGACCATTGAGTGATTATTAACTGCTAATATTTAATGAATTGCTCTCTGAAACAATACAATATGGTAATTATATCTATATTATAAACCAATGACGGTCTTAAACAAATAGTAACTACACATTTGTTAAACCCATCAAAACAACAAGAAATTAAACAACCAATCACGCCAGTGTAGCCTACTTCTATACATAGTGGTACGGGCTTTTAATCATGCATATTAATTAAGCGATGGTTTCATTTTAGCTTATGCATTCAAAATAAAAATGTCTATACTGTAACCTAAAATTAGACATACCTATTAATACAATTTAAACAAATCAGACACAGGCATATCTGAACAACTGACAAATACTTTCAGTAAAGAAGCCTAAGTTAACTAACTTGAATGAAATACTCCATGGAATAATATACGCTCTGGAGGGATACTTCTATAAATGCAAAGTGCTGCTTTAAAAAAATTAGCTAATATATTTGCCAGTCAGGCTAATGTGTTTGCCAGTCAGGTTGATACAATTGCCAGTCAAGTTGTTTCAACTGCCAGCCAAGCTAATATGATAACAATTAAATCCAATAACATCATATTCTGTTAACACGTGTTAACAGAAACTGTCAAAGAACATGTGTTAATAGAAGCTGTCAAAGAACAGTGTTAATAGAAGTTGTCAAAGAACATGTGTTAATAGAAGTTATCAAAGAACATGTGTTAACAGAAGCTGTCAAAGAACACGTGTTTACAAAAGCTACCAAACAATACATGTTAACAGAAGCTGCCAAACAACACGTGTTAACAGAAACTTTCAAAGAACACCTGTTAACAGAAACTATCAAAGGACACATGTTAATAAAAGCTGTCAAACAACACGTGTTAACAGCAGTTGTCAATCAACACGTGTTAATACAGAATGCCAAACAACTGGCATTAATAATGTGCCAAGTGACACATATTCAAGTAGGGAGTTGCAGCTGTACCACTGACAGCTTCCTTGTCTGGTGTTCCAGAAGTGGTCTCCTCGTCACTAAAAGTGTTCAAGGTGATGGGCGTGGGCGTGGGCGTGGGCGGAGCTTCTGCAAGTGACAAGGCAGGAGGAGACGTGAGGCTGCGAGGTGGAACAAGGTCGAGGTACTACAAGCTGCTGGATCAAGTCTTCATGGTTGCCTTGAGGATAGCCTGCAGCTGTAAGGACTCGCTGCTAAGGGAAAGGGGGGTAGAAATAGCCTAAGCTACTCAATCCCTTTGAGATGTATTTTTATTGTCTCAATAAACGTATTTGAATTCGCTGCTACATTTTTTCGGCATTTTCTTCCACACAAAATTGGGAGAAAATTGTTATTCCATTTAATTGTTATTCCAGCAAGGCGTGCAGGGAGGAGTAATCTAGTTTTGTATTAACCTAGTTTTGTAGTTTTGTATTAACTTAAATTTTGTATTAGCTGATCCTGATATATTCCCCAGTCAGACAAATTATACTCACGCATGTCAGCATCCTGATCATACACAATATGAAGCCTAAACCCGTGTTTGCTCTGATCCTGGTATACCATTTTTCTTTGTTCGAAACCAAAATTTCTGAAATGACGAGCAATGATATTCAGATTTTGGGTGGCGTAGCGTGTGAAGAGGGAAGAAGGAAGGGTGGAGAGGCGGGGAGAGTGGCGGGGAGGGCCTCCCCACACACTCGGGGGAAACACTTAGGCAATATTGACAATCCTGGTGAATGAAGCTACTTGCTGAGAATATCTTAATGGTGGGGTGGAAGGCGGAGGGAGAGAGGCTTCTCCTAGGGACCTACAAGTGAGGCAGATGAAGAAGCTGGAGGGAAGGACGGAAATGAGATAGTGAGAAAGTGACAGAGATAAAAAACTGACCATTTAAAATTGTGGGGTTAGCACGATGACACAAAAATACAACCTAACAAGAAATAGATCGAAACAGTGAATTCAGTAGAGTTACGGGTTGATCGACTTTTGTACCAGCGTGGTACAAAAGCATTGAAATTGTTGTATACCTCTACGGAAATTACAACCTCTATTTGAGACTTTGCGTTATGAACATCGCAGAGGGCTAATAACTGGGCATTCGGTGATGTAGTGTGGGAGATCATTCCGCAGTTCCTGCTCACAGAGTTTGCACCTGGAGTGCTCAGGATTGGGAGATTTCAGACCAGTTGGCATGAGGTACCTGGAGCTTTGCAACTACTTTATTCACTCTCGTATTCTTGAAGATATCCTCACAGTGTACCCAAAATTTGCCAGTGCCGGCTACTAAACATATGGCCCTGTATGACTAACCATCCTGCGAGATGGGGACTTTTATTATCACTACTACTTTATTCACTCTTGTGTTCATGATATCTTCATAACGAACCCAGAGTCTGTCAGTACAGACTACTTATCACATGTTGACCAGACCACACACTAGAAGGTGAAGGGACGACGACGTTTCGGTCCGTCCTGGACCATTCTCAAGTCGATTGTGAGTCGATCGAGTCGATTCTCAAGCCGATCCATTCGCACAATTGACTTGAGAATGGTCCAGGACGGACCGAAACGTCGTCGTCCCTTCACCTTCTAGCGTGTGGTCTGGTCAACATACTTTAGCCACGTTATTGTGACTCTTCGCCTGCATACTTATCACATGCCTCTATATGACTAACCATCCTGTGTGATGGGGATTTTTTAGCATCACGTAGCTAGCTTTTTGACACACTGTACTCCCTCTTCATATAGTCTAGGGCAGCTGCACAAATGCAGATGTACCTTATGTATTAATAAAAAAAAATCGCAGAGAGCGAGGCTATTGATGCTAATTTTTCTTAAAGTGTGGTAGTAGGGCCATCTCCGACTGACCTACGACACTTCCACACCTTGGACAGACAGTCATTATCTTTTAAAGAAATATGTAGATGTCATTCAATATTATCGAAAGGGTTTTCATTGATCTCATTCTGTTATATTCAATAACTCAGAAGATTTTCCTGATAGTTAATCACTAATATTTGATCAAAGCCAAATGCCCAGTGAGATCTTTCATGCCTATCCTACTATCAACACCTTCCCCGTCAACCATCTCAACGTCAACCCCCGTCCCTGTCAACCTGCTTCCCCATCAAACCCTTCCTCACTGACGCCTTACGTTCAAACTTTCCTCATCCACGCCATCCGCACCACAGAGACAGATAGACTCACCCACAACCTTCAAGTTGACGACGAAGCTCAGCACGGGCTTGGTGGAGACCTGACACTCGTAGTGGCCCGCGTCCGCTGGGGTCACGCCTTTGATAAGCAGCACCCACTCCAAGTTGGGCTCGTTGAACACCACAGAGATGCGCTGGTCCGAACTGTACTTGTACTTGTCCACCGTCAGGATGTGCAGGTCATCCTGTCTGATCCACGACACCTGTGGGAGAGCCACTGCACTCAGTCTCTGTAGGAGAGTCAAAGGTATTGGTCTAGCCACAGTGTTTCTGTGATCAAGGAAGCATTTGCCAGAGCCCCCGCGCCTGTGGGAGAGTGAGAGAGATGACATTTTCACCCCACTTGTGGGACAGTAAGACGTAATTTCTCACCACACCTGTGGGAGAGAAGGATGTAGTTCTCACCACACCTGTGGGAGAGATGGATGTAGTTCTCACCACACCTGTGGGAGAGATGGATGTAGTTCTCACCACACCTGTGGGAGAGAAGGATGTAGTTCTCACCACACCTGTGGGAGAGAAGGATGTAGTTCTCACCACACCTGTGGGAAAGAAGGATGTAGTTCTCACCACACCTGTGAGAGAGTGAAAGATATAACTTCTTTCACATCTGAGGAAGAGTGAGAGGCATAATTTCTTCCCCCACGTGTTAGAGATTGAAACATTTAATTTCTACCACACCTGTGGAAAGCGAGAAATTTTCTTTGCAACGCACCTGTAAGAGAGAGAGATATATATATGTCGTTTACACCACAGCTGTGGGAGAGTGAGAGCGTTATCATCTAATCCAACACATCTAAGAGAAATAAACCACAATCTATGAACTTAAAACATTCTTGCATTTTGATTGTGCATTTTAGGTTCAGATAATTGTATGGAGCACAAGGGATCAAAGACTCCTAGTGAACTCCGTCATTTAGCAATAAAACATGATGCATCTGAAAGAACAGGTGTGGGAGATGAAGCTGCGTGAAACAGGTGTGGAGGATGATGAAGAGTGCGTGAGACAGGTGTGAGGGGAAGATGCTGAGTGCGTGAGGCAGATATGGAAGATAGTGAAGAGTGCGCGAGACAGGTATGGAAGATAATGAAGAGTGTGGGGAGATGATGCTGGCTGATCAGGCAGGTGTGGAAGGTGATGCATGTGTGTGCATCAGGCAGGTGTGTGGGGGAAAGTGAGACAGATGCGAGAGATTACGGTGGGTGCCTGAGACATACAGTGGTCACGACCCTCGCTCACCAGCATCCCAAGTCTTCCCGCGTGGCACTAAGCATCATATCACTTCTTGGCGAGGCCCCGCACACCACACCTGGACATCTCAAGACGGTAGCGGAGGCACTACACCGCTGGCGACAGCAGCTCCTCTACCCCCCAACACACACTAACCTCTCACGCTGCCCTAGTATAAAAATAAAATGGGTAGCCCTTCCTGCAGATCAAAACGTGCTTATAATACAATTTTTAAGTCATATAAACTAAAGCAAATCTGGAAAAAAATTAAACTATTGTCTGAAGGTGCCTAATAACTTAGACTAGACGGTAGAGCGACGGTATCCCTTCATGCAGGTCGGCGTTCAATCCCTGACCGTCTACAAGTGGTTGGGTACCATTCCTTCCCCCCCGTCCTATCCCGAAGCGTTATCCTGACCCCTTCCCAGTGCTATATAGTCGTAATGGCTTTGGCGCTTTCTCCTGATAGATTTATTCCGTTCCGTACTGGCTGGAGGTGACCTAGGAACGTTCCGAAATATTTTAATAAATAGTAGACTACAAGTTTCATCGAATTGATATACGGAAGCCATTTTAAAATAAAGGAAAAATATAACGAAAGTTGAGCAAAAGACCCGTCACGAAGACGATGAGTCACAATAACGTGGCTGAAAAATCGACTTGAGAATGGTCCAGGACGGACCGAAACGTCGTCGTCCAAGGGAGACATCTCCCGTCACGCAGGGTGCAGTCGCACCTCCACAGATCTCCAGTATCAGCTCTTGATATTGGTAATGGCTCAAAAGGGCCACCACTTACGGGCTATTCATGCCCGTGCCACCTTTTGGGTGGCTTAATCTTCATCTTCGTCGTCGTCCCTTCACTTTCTAGTGTGGTCTGGCCAACACCGGTCATGAAGTCTGGTATGTTCCAATAACTTGTCGAATGATAATCTTATGCTTTAGCAATAGTATCATTTTATTCTGAGGCAGCCGACGGTGTTAAGGCTTGTGCCATTGTCCACCTTGCCTTTAGCAAAGCCCCCGATGCAGGGCCACATGAAAGACTGATTAAAATGATAGAGGCTGGCGGTATTGGGAGTGCTACATCAAGGTAGATTAGGCCACGGCCACGCCAAAGGAAACAAAGAGCCAGTACAAATGGAGTCAAGTCAGAGTGGGGGGGAAACTGTTGTAAGTGGAACGTAGCCACATCCTAACGTAATCACAACGTTCTTTACGTTGTAACAACGTAAAGGGGAAGAGAAGGGAAGAGAGCGAAGAGAAGAGTGGGTAGAGGAGAGAGGAGAAAGAAGATGGGAAAGGGGACGATGAACAGGGCTGAAGGAAGGGTAAGAGGGGGGGGGGGACAGAGTTATTATAATAAAATATAGAAAAAATCTCAGTGTTTTCAATGCATCGTTTACAATTCCTTTCAATTACATAAGAACATTATCATCTATACACACATCAATACACATCAATACACTATACGAACTCGGGTGCATGGGGGGAATTGTGTAAAACCCTGGTTTGTGTCTCCGAGAGACTGCAGGATCCCTGTGAGGCCAGTTGAACTCCCAGTTGCAATTCTTTTAACCATGTCGTAGCACAGTCGGTTAAGGCGCCTCTGGGATCCTCTCAGACGTAGGTTCGAACCCTCATTACGGCCCTTGTGGATTTGTTCATGATCATCTATAAAATTATATTGTGTTCAATTCCACGTCCACTTGAGCAAACCTGCTCCCCCCAAAAATACTCATTTACTCCAACACACTCAAGCAATGTAGCTTCAAGTCAACACCCTTGACTTCCGGAGACAACTGATAAAATAATAGGTACAGCTGAAGAAACCACAAATGAATAAATTACAAAAAAAAACTTACAGGGAGTGTAGGCGATGAGTCACAATAACGTGGCTAAAGTATGTTGACCAGACCACACACTAGAAGGTGAAGGGACGACGACGTTTCGGTCCGTCCTGGACCATTCTCAAGTCGATTGTCTTGAGAATGGTCCAGGACGGACCGAAACGTCGTCGTCCCTTCACCTTCTAGTGTGTGGTCTGGTCAACTTACAGGGAGTGAATAACCTCTATATCACATTGCATTTTATCCAACCGGGGAGGCGGTCGGCCGAGCGGACAGCACATTGTACTTGTGATCCTGTGGTCCCGGGTTCGATCCCGGGCGCCGGCGAGAAACAATGGGCAGAGTTTCTTTCACCCTATACCCCTGTTACCTAGCAGTAAAATAGGTACCTGTGTGTTAGTCAGCTGTCACGGGCTGCTTCCTGGGGATGGAGGCCTGGTCGAGGACCGGGCCGCGGGGACACTAAAGCCCCGAAATCATCTCAAGATAACCTCAAGATAACCCTTACGGCGTCGCAGCGCGGTGGCTCTCCTTAATGCCATCCACAGGTGGGAGTCTGACATTCCCCGCTATCGCTATACATTTTATCGCTTACATTTATCACTATTCTTGAGGTTATCTTGAGATGATTTCGGGGCTTTAGTGTCCCCGCGGCCCGGTCCTCGACCAGGCCTCCACCAGGAAGCAGCCCGTGACAGCTGACTAACACCCAGGTACCTATTTTACTGCTAGGTAACAGGGGCATAGGGTAAAAGAAACTCTGCCCATTGTTTCTCGCCGGCGCCCGGGATCGAACACGGGACCACAGGATCACAAGTCCAGTAAGCTGTCCGCTCGGCCGACCGGCTCCCAGGCGCTATAGAGGCTTTCTCACCTCTATAGCTATAAACCCCGTATTCCAAGCCATACAGCAGCTTTACTAACCTCTCTAGTGAAACTCTCACTGATGCTCAGATTGATGAAGATTAAGCCACCCAAAAGGTGGCACGGACATGAATAACCCGTAAGTGGTGGCCCTTTTGAACCATTACCAGTATCAATAGATGATACTGGAGATCTCTGGAGATGCGACTGCACCCTGCGTGACGGGAGATGTCTCCCGTGCTGATGCTCAGGTTGAATTTTTGAATCTTGGTATAAACTTGGTATAAAAGCTACGAAAGAGGCTGAATTAGCAATTCCTTATGAGGACTTGTACAAATTGCTACAGAAAGGTAAGACTGATATTAATCCGGAACAGGATTAATTCAGGAACGGCTGCAAATCCGAAATGACAAAAAAGTGACACCACTACAGACAGGATCTCCTGTCATCTCAGTTAACCCAAGCAGGCAAGAATTTCCATAATAACAATAATATAATAGTGAGGAAGGTAGGTAAGTAGGTTACATACGTCATACAGCAGAGTCTATTTTAAACAAAGAGCTATCCAACAAAACATTCGAAATTTAAGGTTTTACCAAAAAAAAGTTTACCAGAAGTTTACCAGAAGTTTACCAGAAACTCAACCGAGAACCTTAAAACAACGCGTGAACTCTCTCACAGCTGCTATAAACGTTGAAACTGGAAGCCTAGAATTCGAAAGAGTAAGAGGTGATTTTGACCCCGGTTACTTCAACGGTAACGTGAAGTATAAGTTACTTCAGTGGTAACATGGCTGGGAAGACATCGTCAGGTGTGGAGTGTCACTGGGTGTGTACATCTGCTACATAATTCGCAGGTGTCCTACGGCCAGCTCAGCGAGAACAGAAACTTCGCGAAGATCAACAAATTAATAACCGTAAGCCTTTAAACTCTTATATTCCCTTGTCTACTTTGCAACGCTCAAAGAGACAGAACCACATAACATCTCCGTACATTCAGACCACATTCTCCCTTCAATCTAGCGACGAATTCATCGACGTTCTTAGATGGTAGATGTACTTACATAGACTGGAAAATACCCACAAGAAAATTAGCAATTGCATTAATGTTGTTGTGTTAAATTCGATGTGCCTTAAGGTACCAGCTGCTAAAACATTTGCTTTCAAAATCGTGTTGCCTCTGTCATGACCACGCATGAAGGAACAAGACGGAGCAGATGTGGACAGCAGAGGTGATTTATCATGATAGAGGTGGCACCAGAATCACTGTGAAAGACAAACTCAGGCATTACAAGAGTATTTAGATGACACCTACCGACTTATCGTTGGCATTGAAGACCCTGCAGGAGAGTATAGCCGTCTTGCCGGACTGTATTGTTATGTTCCTGGGTAAGGTACGGTCAAAGCTGGGTCCTGGAGGAGGCCCAAGGGTAGAGTCATCCTGGGGCTCGTCCAGGAAGGTGTAGTGACCGCGGGGCGCCGCTTGGGTGTGGCTGCCTCTCACAGCGATCACCCGGCGACCTCCGCCCTCCTCCTCCACCCCAAACACATACCCTCCGTCATCACCTTCCTGCGAACTCGACCGTCGCTGCTTCATGGGGGAGTCGATGCTATGGTGATGATGATGGTGATGATAATGTGATGTGGTGGTGACGTGTGGCGGTGGTGGTGATGCTTGTTGCTGCAAGTGGTGGTGATACTGGTAGCGTTCGTGTGGGTTCTGGCGGTGATGGTGATGGGTGTAGTGGTGGTTGGGCACCGCCAAGGACGGCCTGGCATCGGGCACCTTTGGGAAGTAGCGTCCTGTTGGGAGACAAAAGTTTCACGGTCATCATTGAGATCTGATCTGGGACTTGTTGCGGAAAGAAATATCATGATAGGACTGACTAGACGCGTCCTGTTGGTAGACTAATATCTATAGTATTATAAAACTCAGGACAGGTAAGGTGATTATCAGGAGAAAGCATTAAGTTATAGCGACCATACAGCACTTGGAAGGGATATAAGAAGAGGGACTTAGGATAGAACGAAGAAAAGGAATGATGCCCGAGGCCTGACGGCTGAGTGGACAGCACTCTGGGTTCGTTGTCCTAAGGGTCCGGGTTCGATCCCCGGTGGAGGCGGAAACAAATGGGCAGAGTTTCTTTCATCCTGATGCTCCTGTTCACCTAGCTGTAAATAGGTACCTGGGAGTTAGACAGCTGGTACGGGCTGCTTCCTGGGGATATATGTGAGTGAAAATTAGGATTTTAAGGACGTGTCCGAACCCTATGCATGCTAGTGGATGTACAAGAATGTAAGAACTCTTGTATATATTAATAAATAAAAATAAAAAATAAAAACTTAGGTGGTCGGGGATTGAACGCCGACCTGTAAGCCAGACCTGTAAGGGAAGTAGTAGTAGTTAGAAACGGTTGATTGACATTTGAGAGGCGGGCCGAAAGAGCAGAGCTCAACCCCCGCAAGCACAATTAGGTGAGTACACACACACACACACTGTGTGGTGACGTCTGAGTATACTCAACACTGTATACTGCGTCTGAGTATACTCAACACTGTATAGTGCGTCTGAGTATACTCAACACTGTATAGTGCGTCCGAGTATACCCAACACTGTATAATGCGTCTGAGTATACTCAACACTGTATAGTGCGTCTGAGTATACTCAACACTGTATAGTGCGTCTGAGTATACCCAACGCAGCACGACAAGTCTGTGTATGAAAGAGTAACATTTTAATTTCAGGGAGAACAAAACTTCAAATGTCCAAACCTGGTAAAATCAAAAAGTTTGCATTACCATAAAATAAAACAAAAAATTAATGTGTATATTGCTTTGTGATTGATGGAAAGGCTTTGTTATAGTTTAAAAAGCCCCCCCCCCCCCTGTCATCCTCACTCCCAGAACCACTGACATGGAAAAATCATTTGATAGAAAACGGACGTATATTCCATTTTCGATGTGTGGTGTCAACAGTGCCAAGTATCGACCCAGTTGGTGGTGAATTAGTCGCCAGTGAGGTTTTTTATGGGTCTCAGTTTGTAAACATAATTCATTATACTGGATCTATGCTAAATTTGCTAGATGATATGAAAGAATGCCAGATGATAATTATATATATATATATATATATATATATATATATATATATATATATATATATATATATATATATATATGCGAACAAGCCTGAATGGTCCCCAGGACTATATGCGAATGAAAACTCACACCCCAGAAGTGACTCGAACCCATACTCCCAGAAGCAACGCAACTGGTAACTACAGGGCGCCTTAATCCGCTTGACCATCACGGCCGTCAAAAGGAAGTGATAGCCGAGGCTATTTGAGCCACTTCCCCGACGGCAACTCGGATGGTAATCTTGGGCATAGCATTTCACCAAATCACCTCATTCTTTGGGGCACACGTGAGGAACACAAATGCGAACAAGCCTGAATGGTCCCCAGGACTATATGCGAATGAAAACTCACACCCCAGAAGTGACTCGAACCCATACTCCCAGAAGCAACGCAACTGGTAACTACAGGGCGCCTTAATCCGCTTGACCATCACGGCCGTCAAAAGGAAGTGATAGCCGAGGCTATTTGAGCCACTTCCCCGACGGCAACTCGGATGGTAATCTTGGGCATAGCATTTCACCAAATCACCTCATTCTTTGGGGCACACGTGAGGAACACAAATGCGAACAAGCCTGAATGGTCCCCAGGACTTCCCCGACGGCTTGCCGTCGGGGAAGTGGCTCAAATAGCCTCGGCTATCACTTCCTTTTGACGGCCGTGATGGTCAAGCGGATTAAGGCGCCCTGTAGTTACCAGTTGCGTTGCTTCTGGGAGTATGGGTTCGAGTCACTTCTGGGGTGTGAGTTTTCATTCGCATATAGTCCTGGGGACCATTCAGGCTTGTTCGCATATATATATATATATATATATAAAACATCTAAATAACTGGGACCGTCTCAAAGCTCTTAAAATGTACTCTCTGGAAAGGAGACGAGAAAGGTATCAAATAATATATACATGAAAGATACTTGAAGGCCAGGTCCCAAATTTGCACAGTAGAATAACAACATACTGGAGCGAAAGGTACGGAAGGAATTGCAGAATAGAACCAGTGAATAGTAGAGGTGCCATAGGCACAATCCGAGCAGTCTGAACATCAGAGGTCCACAGCTGTTCAACACCCTCCCAGCAAGCATTAGAAATATTGCCGGAAAGAAGATGGATGTATTCAAGAGGCACTTGGACAAGAAGTTCTTGCAAGAAGTGCCAGATCAACCAGGCTGTAGTGAATATGTGGATCTGCGGGCCGCTTCATAGCCTATTGGACTAAGTTATCTCAAGCCTGGCCTCAGGCCGGGCTCGGGGAGTAGTAGGACTCCCAAAACCATCTCCAGGTATGGCCCGCAAGGATAATACGTAGTGAGAGACAGCTTTCAAACGAAAAATATAAGCTGTATCTTTTGAATATAAATATTGCTCCCAACCTGACGCCTGAGAAGTAATGTCTTCAGAATACTGGCAGGCATCAAGGAACCTTGACAAGGAAGCCTCCAGGACACAGTATACAGCTTCGGAAGATCCATTCTGGAGCTTGCAGCTAGGTGCTGGAATCTTTTCTCCAGAAATGTTAACAATAAAATTATAATAAAAGCTAAGAGATGTGTGACAAGGCTCGCTCCAGAACTGACACTGAAAACATCAGTGACCGGTTGGGGGGACCTAGGCAAACACACATCGAAACTACGACGTTGGTACAACGTTCGAAGAAGTTTTAACACCTCCTAACCAGTTATAACAACCAATATAGCAAGTTGTAACAACGTTCAAATACGTCATAAACACGTTAAGCCAAGATGTAACAACTTTATTACAAGTTGTAACAAGCAGAAAATAGAGACAGTTTCGGTTTGTGTTTCCAGGGGATATATATAGCAGCCTCACTATGATGGAAGAATGAAGGCATATGGGATATGTGGTAAGTATCACATTGGAGTATATGTAAATATGTCTGTGGTGCTTTTTCAAATTCATCATTACATGTGATTAATATAATTGAACTTACAGCACCTATCATAGATAAATATCATAACTTGTAAGCTACACTGGATGTCTCCGCCTCCTGTTGTTGTTGTTAAAGATTCGCTCCTTGGAACAAAAAGTTCCAAGTAGCACGGGCTATGGTGAGCCCGTGAATCTCCGCCTCCATTATTATGTCTCAAGACACCTGTGTATAACGTCTGTTGATGTTTATGTCACACATCGTGAGAAGGTGAACTCTCCAGCCCAAACTCGTGCCTGAAGAAGTGTTTCCAACTACTTATAATGTATTACTTCCTTACTTATGATCCGATGAGTAACGAAGTTCTGGTTTGGTGTCAATAATAGTCCTGTCTGCTCCAGATTCAAGATATCATAGTTATAGTAACGTAATAGTAACGCCTTAAGGGACCTACCTCCCTTAAGGCCGGCATATATTTAAGTGCCCAGTGAAGCCAGTTCTGCCGCCGGGACCAAATCACTGGTTACTAAAAAGGCGTAATTGGAAGAAATCATGAGAGGGGATTTAAACCAAGCTTAAACCAATGGGGCAAGACATGTTTTTGTCAGTGTGTACAGTGTGTTCACTAGTGTGAGTGTCGCTAGCACTTGAGGGACAGGTGCTGGGTAGTGCCAGACAGGGTCACACCTGGGGACAAGAGGAGACGTCCTCTGAGAAAATGTTGAGGCAGTGTCGAGTGTGGAGAAAGAAGAGTATAACATTTCAGTTGGCCAGTGGATTGTTGCCTCTGAAATCTTTCCTACTGAGTCTTTCAGATAGCTTAGTGGAAGAGCTTCCACCTTACACCGTGGGGTCGGCGGTTCGAGTATCCTAGTGCCTAAGTGAATAAAATGTTTATTTCCATGATAGGGTGATTGGCAGTATATAAGGCAAGCTTTCTCGAGTGAGATGTTTGATGAACTTTGTCCATTACCGTGAGGTTTGTGACACTGTGTTGTGAAGTCACTGTGAGGGGAGAGTGAGGCGTCTGAGAGGGGTAGACTGGGGGTGATCTACGGGGTGTTGGGGCATCCTGGTGTGAGGTTGTAGGCTAGGCCTCCCGCGCCTACTGAAACCCGTGTCGGCCAGCAGGTGTGAGTCATTACCAATGGTGTGCAAGCCAGGAGAGAATGCCTGCCACAGCTGGCCTCACATTCATTCAATACACCTACACATCCATCCACTATATCATCTACGAGTGCCACAGACGGATACATTTTGGTGTACGTTGGAGCCGGGATGGATGAGCAGAGTATAAGTCTCTGAAATGGATCCTAGCAGTATCATCTGAGCTTAGAAACTCAGTATTGTATAATCTGATGATTGGTGAGCTGAAGTGATCAGCCAGTCTTGAGGACTGTATAACAGTCGCTGGTTCGTGCCAGTGTCACCTCGTCTCCTAAATTAACACTATTCACATCCGGCACTCACTCTGGAATAAAGAAGTGTGCAGGAAAATCAGGTAGTCTCACGCCCAGGCCATTCTCGGAGACGCGTCTGCCCTGTTCACGTAACACGTGCGTTGATGTACATAGAGACCACGTACAGTCGAAGTAGAAGATCAGCATGACAGCCATGTGGCCGACGCTCGAAGTCCAGCCGTTGAGACCTTCTGGGAGCTGAGTGTAAATGAGGCTGTGTGAGTGTGTGAGGATGGTATTACTGTGAAGTACAAAGTCATGGGATTTATTGTCTGTTTTTTGCGCTGTCAGTTTTTTCACCTTATTGATCATTCGCAATAGTTTGAGTTTAAAGACAGAGCGACTGTGATCAAGTGAGTATCTGTGTGGTATGACGGTTGTTCCACCCTCAGAGTGTATGTTTCACAATCAACACATTTAGTGTATGTGTGTATGCTGTGTTTACCGCCAGCTTGCCGGGTCGTTATTGTCGCTAATTGTGCACGTCATTAATTATCCCTGATACCTGGAAGGAACTCGCACGTGTCTTTTACGATCGACTAGTGTTTGTGACACTTTTGTGAGAGGCATGTTTGTGACTGGTTGTCTAAAGAAAGTGTTAAGATAGGATTACCCACGAGGAACCCCGCGAGCAGTCAGGGAGGCGTCCTAGTCTCCCTGGCGGATACATTTGTCGATATTTCCTTTGACGACAACAATCGCAAAGTTACGAAACCTTCATGTGTATTATAGTACGTAAGTTTTGGAAATAAATGTTGATGTTGTTAAACAATGTTTACATAAAACCCTTTTTGAATACTGCCAAACTAAATAACGAAGTCGCCTCATCAGACCCGGTTCCTACTATATTATGCCCCTTCTCAAACAAATAATTGATAGGGAGAACCCCCATTGTGGGATCCTTTAGACTCCTACGACAACTGCATGAAGACTTCTACTCAAACTAGAAAAGCAGGTTGGCGTATGTGGAAGAGTCGTAAGGTGGATCAGAGTGTCTCTCAGGAAGGAAGCAAAGGGTTACAGTGAGGGCAGAGACATCAGAGTGAAGCGAGGTTACGAGTGGGGTACCACAAGGGTCGGTTCCAGGGCCTATACTGTTTCTAATATATGTCAGTGACCTGGCAGTGGAAATTGACTCCTTCATATCAATTTTCCAGATGATGCAAAACTAATGAGAAGAATCAGGTCAATGATAGACTGTGATGAATTGCAAGCTGATTTGGACACACCCCAGATGTGGTCTGAAAAATAGTTGCTAGAATTTAACCCAGCCAAATGCAAAGTTATGAGTATTGGAAAAAGAGTGCGCAGACCAGTACAGTAGTATAGGATGAAGGGAAGGCAAATTCCTCAATCATAAAAGGAGAAAGAACTGGGAGTTGTCATAACCCAATTTTGATGCCAGAAGCCCACGTTAGCAGAATAACAGCAGCAGCATATGGCATACTGGCCAACATCCGCGTATCCTTCAGAAACTCGGACAAAGGGGGTTTTCCGGGACCTATATACAGCAAAGGTAAGGCTTGAATATGCATTCCCAGCATGGAACCCTTAACTGAAAATGGACAAGGAGAACCTAGAAAATGTCCAATGATATGCAACTAGACTCGTTCTGGAGCCAAGGAGATTGAGCTATAGAATAAAAACAGAGAACTGGACCTTACAAGGCTCGAGGAAAGGAGAGAGAGATGGGGACATGACAGCAACATACAAGATTCTAAAGGAAATTGACAAGGCCGATTTTATCACTAGCCCTGACCCCTTACAGGAACATTCCATTAGAATTGAGCCTTAATGCAAAACATCAGCAGCATTAAAAGATTCAGTGCAACTTGCCCGAAACGCTGTGCGCACTAGTGGCTTTAGGCATTGTATGTTCTAGCTCTATCTATAAGTCCAACATTATGTTTGTAACTCATCTTCTATGTATGTACTTTTACCTGAATAAACATTTTGATTTTGATTTTTGATCTGAACTAACTTTTAGACGAGTTCTACAAGAGCATTATTTCTGACCATTACAGTAACACTCCGTCATTAGTACTGACCTTCCCTAAGAACACAACACCAGCATTACAACTCAACATTACAGGAGCACCAACAACAGTAGGGAACACACACACACGAAGAGGTTACCTTGAGGTTACCTTGAGGTGTATCTTGAGGTGTAGCTTGAGGTGTACATTGAGGTTACCTTGAAGTTACCTTGATGTTACCTTGAGGTGTACCTTGAAGTTACCTTGAGGTTACCTTGAAGTGTACCTTGAAGTTACCTTGAGGTTACCTTGAGGTGTACCTTGAAGTTACCTTGAGGTTACCTTGAAGTGTACCTTGAAGTTACCTTGAAGTTACCTTGAGGTTACCTTGAGGTGTACCTTGAAGTTACCTTGAGGTGTACCGTGAAGTTACCTTGAGGTTACCTTGAAGTGTACCTTGAAGTTACCTTGAGGTGTACCTTGAAGTTACCTTGAGGTTACCTTGAGGTTGCCTTGAAGTTACCTTAAAGTTACCTTGAAGTTACCTTGATGTTGCCTTGAAGTTACCTTGAGGTTACCTTAAAGTTACCTTGAGGTTACCTTGAGGTATACCTTGAGGTGTACCTTGCGGTTACCTTGAGGTGTACCTTGTTACCTTGCGGTTACTTTGAGGTGTACCTTGTTACCTTGCGGTTACCTTGAGGTGTACCTTGTTACCTTGAGGTTACCTTGAAGTTACCTTGAGGTTACCTTGAGGTTACCTTGAGATGTACCGTGAGGTTACCTTGAGGTGTTTTCGGGGCTTAGCGTCCCCGCGGCCCGGTCGTCGACCAGGCCTCCTACACAAGCCTCCTCCAGAGACAAACAGTACTGTTAGAGCAGCAGCTACGTGCACACCCCGCTCCTGTGCCAGGTAAGTTACGGGGTCACCATAGCCCGTGCTACTTGGAACTTGCTCCGAGTAGCGAATCTTAAACAACAACAACAACAGACGTAGAAGCAAACTCCATTCATAATTTCAAAAGTACATTTAACAAGCTACGTGCACTCACCTGGCATCTTGACGTCGGCGTCGTAGTCCGGGGTCTCCGGACATCCCAGCTCTGGTAGACAGTCCTCAGACGCCGGGTCGTGGGAGAGGTAGCGAGCCTTGCCTTCCACCACACCTGTAGGGAAACACACACACCTGGTAGTGACACACCTCTTCTGCTAACACACCTGTTGGTGGCAGCTTTGCCCTATACTACGTCTGTTAGTGGCAGCATTATCCTCCACCACAGCTGCTTGTGGCAGCATTGCCCTCCACAACACCTGCTTGTGACAGCCTTGCCCTCCACCACACCTGCTTGTGGCAGCCTTGCCCTCTACCACACCTGGTAGTGACAGCCTTGCCCTCCACCATACCTGGTAGTGGCAGCCTTGCCCTCCACCACACCTGGTAGTGGCAGCCTTGCCCTCCACTACACCTGGTAGTGACAGCCTTGCCCTCCACTACACCTGGTAGTGACAGCCTTGCCCTCCACTACACCTGGTAGTGACAGCCTTGCCCTCCACCACACCTGGTACTGGCAGCCTTGCCCTCCACCACACTGGTAGTGACAGCCTTGCCTTCCACCACGAAAGGGAAGTAGGAGATAAAACAGAGCAAAGTGAATATTTAGATTAAGAAGAACCACAAAAGTAGCTTGTAATGTTAGAACTGTTGGCAGAGAGGACGGGCTATCGGCACATGCAAGGCAGCTCCTGATTTTACTCGACTAAACCCATATATTTGTCTAAGCCACTCCTGAAACAACACAACGATCCTATGTCTATTATGTCAAAAGGTATTTGACGACATGACTCTAAAAAAAACTATTTACAAATCAATATTTACCCTTTCAATCTAAATCTAATTTGCATTGTTTTTACGTATGTATTTTGCAGCCTAGCAATATTCTTTAAATTATACACTTTCATATATATCTGCATACTTTATTTGTGTCTCCAAGACACAGTGAGTTCACCAGAGCTGGGGCCAGATTCACGAAAGTAATTAGGCAAACACTTACGAATCTGTACATCTTTTCTCAATCTTTGGCGGCTTTGTTTTCAATTATTAAATAGTTAATGAGCTCCGAAGCGCCAGGAGGCTGTTTATAACAATAACAACAGTTGAAAGGGAAGTTTTCATGCTTGTAAACTGTTTATATTAGTATATTTTGGTAGCAGTCTTTCTTGTAAACATATGTTGTTGAATATGACCGAAAAGGTAAGATTAATAATTCTAACACGAATCTTCTCAATATTTCTTATGTTTTTCTTCAGTGAAGAAAAACAAGAAATATTGAGAAGATTCGTGTTAGAATTATTAATCTTACCGTTTCGGTCATATTCAACAACATATGTAAACTGTTTAATAAATGTAACCAAAGCCGTCAAAGATTGAGGAAAGATGTACACGTTCGTAAGTGCTTGTGTAAGTGCTTTCGTGACTCTGGCCCCTGGTGTGTTGGTAGCACTGATGCTGACTTAGAACGTATGCTTAGCTTGTCCTAGCGATACATCCAGAACTGTTTCTGGCTATTGCATCTTCCTCTCAATTTTTTAGCCATTTCCTCGTCAATAAATTCCCGGCTGCAAATCTTCAAGGCTCTGAGAAACATTCCAGAAAATACTGCACGCTTATCGTTACTGTGATAACGATAATAGAAGTGCACATACGAATAAACATTAGTTTACTTCATGTACACACTAAAGTTAAAGCATCTATTGACTAGGGATTATAATGTAAAGAACAGGAAGAACACCATTCTCATTCTGAAGTTCACTGAAGTTAATGTGATTTCTCTGTGTATTGAAAAATAGAATTCAATCGTCAGAGGTAGAATTACAGGTTGACCGAGCCCGAGTACATGTAGGGGAATTGTGGGAAACCCCGGTTAGGCTTCAGTGGAAGCCTCGGGATCCTTGTTAGTGCAGTAGTACTCCAGGTTGTAATTATTTTACCATGTCGTGGTGCAGTCGATAAGAGCGCGTCTGGGAACACCCACCGCACAGGTTCGAACCCTCATCAGGGCTCCTGTGGATTTGTTCGTTGATATAGTACCCCGTTAATGTGATTTCTCTGTGTAATGAGGTCAATAGTATTCTGGGTTCAAGTTCAAGTATGTTTATTGAGACAAGAAAAAAATACATCTCAAAGGGATAGACTAGCTTAAGCTATGTCTATCACTATCTACTTCTGGGTGACATTTCTAAATTAAGATTGTTGAATGTTGGTGTGTCTTCTTATGTTTTAAAACTTCAAGGAGGCAATTGTGTCAGGTGTGACAACTTTAAGAGGAGGAACATTCTCATTACCTTTCTTGGTGACGGGTGTGTATGTTCCTTGAATAGTGGGGTACAGATAAAGAGGAATATCAGACAGGTAGATTACACTTAAAAAGGTTATGTTAAGTTTGATGAGACTGTAGGCATTTTTATTCAGCCATTTATCACAAAAGGAGTGCGTTGGTACGTTGGCACCAGTCAATAGGGTCGAAAATTTAAACTCTCACGAACACTGTGTGTACACTGACGGCTCTGTCCAATGTTCTACTGGACGGACTGTAGCAGCATGCAGGTTTTATAGAAATAATATTTGCACACAGACTGTCAGTGTCAGGTTAAACAACTGGCTGACCTCCACACAAACAGAACTAGCGGCACTACAACTAGCTACCAGTATATTAAAAAACATAGGAGGAAAAATATTTTGCAGACTCAAAGTCTGCTCTTCAAGCAATCGAAAGCTTCTGGAAGATCGACAGCAAGAACATCATACTAATAATTATAAATTACCTAATTGCTGCACAGCGTAAAAGGTTTCGAATCTCCTTTGTATGGATACCATCACACAAATATAACTCATCATAATGACACAAACATTGCAGCCAAATTAACGTGTAACAAAGATGAAGTTGAATTAGACCTACGTATCTCTGTTGTCAAAACTATAATGTACCAAACATTCAGGTCTGATAGAGAAATTACTGACTCCCAACGACCTGAAAAGCACCAGTATAAAAAGCTATGATTTGTACAGATCTGAAACTTATGTTTATGGGCAGCACAAAACGTGGACCAGACTGTGCGACACAGTGGTTGCCAGGATCAGGTTAGGTTACCACTACCTGTGGCTGGTGGCTACAGGTGACGGATCTCCCAACCCTGAACACTCCAGGTGCAAACTCTGTGAGCAGGAACTGCGGCATCACCCAATGCCCAGTTATTAGACCATTCAGACCCCATTGTCATGAGGTACCTGGAGCTTTGCAATTACTTTATTCACTCTCGAGTTCTTGACGATATCCTCATATTGCACCCAAAATTTGCCAGTGCAGGCAACTGAACATATGGCCCTGTATGACTAACCATCCTGCGAGATGGAGACCTTTAGTATCACTGCTGCCTTATTCACTCTTGTATTCATGAAATCCTCATAATGCACCCAGAGTCTGCCAGTGCAGACTACTAATCACATGCCTCTGTATGACTAACCATCCTGTGTGATGGGGATTTTAGCATCACGTAGCATCCCTTTATGATGTGATTTAGCATCACTTTTTGACACTGTACTCCCCTTCATATAGTCTAGGGTTCCCTTCATATAGTTTAGGGTAGCTGCACAAATGTAGATGTACTTAAATGTGTTAATTAAAAAAATCTTAGTTTTTGTCCAAATCTATACAAACTGAATACAATTAAAACTTTAATAAATAGCGCCATTAATCTTTGTTCGGATTACAAAGTATTTGAAACTGAAGTTCAATTTTTGCTTGAACTTTTCCTTTCAAATTTGTTTCCTAGCAAGATATTTTATAGCATTCTGATGAGATTCTTAACTACCAAATTTAAACATACTACTGTATCGCGGTTCCTACAGTCCTTAAAGACTCATAATATGTACAATTTCAATATTTAATTACGATAAGTTATTACATTAGGAAGGAACTTGAGAATATTCTTCGACATATCCACAAATTAGTTTTCACTCCGTGTTTACTATTAATAACACCAATGGAAGCTATTTATAACGTTGAGATCCACTACCCTTTGAACTCAGATCTGCTGTTGTTTGTCTGTTTAAATGTTCAAACTGTTCGATATGTGGGAAATACCTCACGAAACGTTTATGCTCTGCCTCTTGGGCATTTTTTTTTAATGAGCAAAATTAGGTATAAACAGCAATGTGCTGCTACCCTATTCTATATGAGATATTACACAGTGTAGATCAAGAATTAGCTACAGGTTCAACTATTATTCCCATCTGTCATGATGGTTAGTCATACATAGAATTAGTGGGAGATAATACCTGCCTTAATACAATAATAAACCAGTTCTGACTAATCAGCAGGCTATAAGTTCATCCAATATTCCCATCTCACAGGATGGTTAGTCATATATGGAATCAGGGGAAAAAATACCAGCCTCAATACAAAACTAATCAACTCTGACTAAAAATCAGGTGAGAACATAAAATGTAAGACTGATCTACTAGCCTCCACTAGCAAAATTTGGGTACAGCACAAGAATATCTTCCAATATTCCTGAGTGTACGAAGTAATTACAGAGATCAAAGTACCTCATATCATTAGTTCTGAAGTCACTTGTAACAGGGCAATCACAGATATAGTGCTGGAGTGGCGAACATTCCACTTGTAAACTATGTGAACAAGAGCTGGGACATACTCTCTTGGGCAATGGTGCTTCCTGTTATTAGCGATCACAGCGAGGATAAAGGGTTGGGATAAACACCCTCTTGCTTACAACGATTTCGCTGTTCTGTCTTGTAGTTCGTCTCGCCTTGAACTCAATATTTTAGTGAATATCTCGATTTTTTAAATTAAGGCTAAGATTTTTAAAATTGAGGCCAGAGTTGAACAACTCGGAAGGGCGCGTTCAATCCCTTGAGCGTAGTCGTCCTTAAATCAACAATAGCTCATGAGTCGTCGACTGGGTTGTTGATGTACCAATTATCATCTTCTCTAAAGTATGTGTTGGGCTATTTTATTGGTCTTGTTTTGAGAATATATCTTTGTCTTTTATTTGTGTATAGTTTTCTTTTAGCTTTTGAATATTAATTGTTATTGAATATATAATTTATATATATATTTAATTGTTTTCCGCTAAATTTGCAATGTCAATATTAATTGTTAGCCCTGATGGAGTTTGGTACTCCGAAACGTCTGGTATTTTTAATAAATTAAAGATGTATATCTTATTCCTTATCATACTGTTTAAAATAAGATTAAAATTCCCAAGAGGTATACAACGATCAAGTGAGGGATCAAGATGAAGTAAAGTTATATGTTGGACAGTAATAAAATTGCGCCATTTAAAGATAAATCTAATGAAATGGCAAACCATTTTATTACCAAGGAAAAACTACCTGAAATCCTTGCACTGTATCCATAGTTCGTTTCCAGTAGATAAACGATATATGATATTAAGAAGCAAGCAAGTGTATTGTGAAGACTAATAATACAGCCTATCCTCCAGTTTTAGTAATACATATAGTAACGATGAGTACCATAGTATATATACACCGACGTACAACAAAATCAGAAAATAGAAATCAGCACTATTGAGTTGAACAAACCGGAAAATTATTTTTTACTTTTGTTGTTTTGACAAACTAAACTAACTTAACCTTCCTAGGCCTAATGCACGATATCTGAGGCCTAATATAGTGCATATGTGTGCTATACTAGGCCTAGGAATATTTAAAAAAATTAGCTTGATTTATTTTAAAAGAATTCCTTACTAGTCAGTATACTACTATCTAAAAGCTAAGTACGTACGAATTTGTGACTATTGACGACCGTCACAATAGCTACTATCTAAACAGGAGGATAGGTTGATATTATTTATTTATTTATTTATATATATATATATACAAGAAGGTACATTGGGATTGTGAAGATACATAATATGGTAATTACAATCTTGTAAAGCCACTAGTACCCGCAGCATTTCGGGCAGAGAACAGACTATAACAATTATAACAAACAGCAGGTCCCCTATGACCATGTAATATCTCCATAGCTCAAACAATTATGTATTAGCGATAAGACCGACCATTAATGTATAATGATTAACTGCAAATATATAGCTATTGAAATTGAACATTATATGTAACTAGCTGACATTATAATTATTAGGTGTGAAGGATAGATGAAATTGTTAATGTAATAATCTTCGTTGAGGTCTTATAAAGATTTTTGTGGCCTCTGTAATCTTTTTTTGCGATAACGCTCACAGGAATAGTATAGGGTGCGCAATAATCTAGCCGCCTCCGGCAGCAACAATCAAAAATCAAAAAGCTCTCCATAATTGACGCAGTTTCTGCGTGGAAGTCATTGAGTTGGGGCATCTCTTCTGTTCTCGCCACAAAACATAAAACTCTCGTGTCAAAACAATTGCCCCTCATCAGTTACCCAGAACCAGTTCTCCATTAATGCCTTTCTTCCAAAGCCTGTTCTCAGCTCACCCATCGGAAACCAGTTCTCCCCTCACATCACGTTCCACTCCCAAAACCAGTTGCTACACACGCCCATCTCCCAAAACCAGTTCCTCCCTACATTCATATTTCCTATATCAAGATTCACTCACCACGCCCATCTCACAAAACTAGTTTCCCACACGCCCACCTTCCAAATGCCAGTTCCCCCAACACGTCCATCTTCCAAAAACCAGATCATCCCACGCCCATGTTCCAAAGCCAGTTCCCCCACGCTCATCTCCCAAATCCATTTCCTTCCGCCACGCCCATCTCATAAACATATTTCCTTCCCTCACGCCCATCTACCAAACCAATGTCATTCCCTCGCGCCTATCTCCCTCACCCATTTCCTTCCCTCACGCCCATTTCCCAAAATCAGGTCTCCTTTCACTATCATCTTCCAAAACTAGTGCCTTCCCCCACCCCATTCTCCCAAATTCAGTACCCCCCACCCCATCTCCCTGAAGAGTTCCCCAAGTTCATCAATCAAAAGCAGTTTCCCCACGCCCATCTCTCAAAACATGTCTCTTATGCCCTTCAGTTCCCAAAGCGGCCATCTCCTAACACCCAAAATTCATACCAGACTGTTCCTAGAATTGAGAGATTTTAATTACAAGGAAAACTGAAGGAATTTAGTCTTACGTTACTGGAAGAAATAAGGAACTGAGAGAATATGATCACCTTATACAAAATAAGCAGAGGAATAGACAGGGGAAGACAAGAAAAAGACTACTAATAATATGTACCATACCAGAGGGCACAAATACCAAATTGAGCCAGATATAAATATTTCTGTCACAATATCGAACGAAAGAATTACGATATGAAGTGAAGTAGTGGATGGAAAAAACTAAATATACTGCTTCCAATATAGATATGACACAGGCCACCATTCTCTGGAAGCTATACACCAGTTGATTAATAGCTGAGAGGCAGGCCCTAAGAACTGTAGCTCATTCCCCGGCCAGTACAATAAGGTAAGCCCTCACATCTCCTACACCCATACCTCAACATTCGCCTTAAACGGTAGATCTTTTTTGGGTTTATTGCTTACATTCTTCTAGGAGCAAATCTGAATTATTAAAGTATACGCCATTTAGAGGCTGTACGGCCTTTTAATTGGTTTTTGGATTAGTCTCATTTATTTAATTTGTCAATGTGCAACGATTTATCGAGATAATTATGATGAGCAGGTGGGCCTACCTGTAAGTTGTGTGATGGCCAGGAGCGTCCATAGTGTGACGAGGACGCGAGAAGAGGTCAAGGGTATGATGCATACCAGGGTCAGGGGCGCCCCAACCCGGTGCAGGTGACTGCTACCAACTGACCCATACATCCTAAGACTTGTTTTCTAGGGTGGTCAAATATATGATTATTTGGCGAATATCTTAGCACTTGTCCAGCACTTAGCACTTACAAAGCGAGGAAGCCTTCAGTAGCACTTGTCCTCGTGTGCTGTGTTTCCACATCACTGGGACCAGTACAGGTATAATAGTTGAGTAAAACTCCATAATGTGGGACCTTTCACCCAGTCGCATTGCATGTCTTCACCGATAATCTAAAATTAATCATTTTTGCATCAAAGTTTCAGGCTATGTAAAAGAGGGTTTTAGATCATCACCAATGTCTCACATCTTGCCGCCCTTTACTCACCTAGCAACGAGACAACATTCACCTGAACACTTCAAGTTTTCCCAATTACCTGCCACTAAAGCAACTGGACGGCAAGCCCGGGGAGCCTCTAGCATACACATCACACGTCCTCACCCGACGCTAGTTGGACCAGCACTGAGGCTGTAGCCTACAGTGCTGCCACCCTGGCGCCTCCACCTTCCCCTATCCCGGTACCTAACCAACCTTCCATTCCAAACACTACCCAACCCAATCCCAACATTACTACATTACTCCCTAACCTATCACCAGCCTCACCCTGGCACTCTCCTATAATCCACTCACTCTGCCAGCTGGTAAAAACGATGCCAAGACCAGCCCAGCTCACACTCACGTGAGGCTTTACAAGATTGTAAATACTATGTTATGTATTCTCACAAACCCAATGTACCTTTTTGTATATAAATAAATAAATAAATAAATAAATAAATATTAAATAAATAAATAAATAAATAAATAAATAAATAAATAAATAAATAAATAAATAAATAAATAAATAAATAAATAAATAAATAAAAGTATGTTTGGCTCCAAAGACCCTCGGTGCTTTTTTAACAAGCTTGGGTATACACAACAATGTACTGCTATCCTATTCTATATGAAACATTACACAGTGTAGATCAAAAACTAGCCAGTTCATCTAATATCCCCATCTAACAGGATGATTAGGCATACATGGAATCAAGAGAGAACATGCAATGCGAGGCTTATCTATTAGCCTCCACTAGCAAAATCTGATTACAGCACAAGAATATCTTCCAGTATTCGTGAGTGTATGAAGTAGATACAGAGCTCAAAGTACCTTATACCATCTGATCTGAAATTACTGATAGCAGGGTAATCATAGATACAGTGTTGTAGAGTATGTCCCAGCTCTTGTTCACACAGTTTACAGTTTGAATGTTCACCATTGGGGGGGGATTCATTACCTGCAGCCACCTGCCATAGATATCGCTATCCCAGCCTAATTCTGGCAATAATAATGTCACACTGACTAGTGGATGTTTTATGCTGCCAGTACATATAATTCTCGGTTCTAAGCATATCATAGCTCTTTATACTCTTGAACAAATCCACAAGGGCCGTAATGAGGGTTCGAACCTACGTCCGGGATGATCCCAGACGCGCCTTAGTCGACCACGCCACGACATGTGACCGGGAGTGCTACTGCTCTCACACGGATCCCGTCTGGGATCATCCCGGACGCAGGTTCGAACCCTTATCACGGCCCTTGTGGATTTGTTCATTTGATGTATCACGCTATTGTGATTTCTGTGTCTATATTCTTGCTTTCTGGCCTTTGAGTGTCAGTGACTGCTCTTCTGTTATCCCTAATTTCCTAAAATATTGCGGCTTTTACAGCAGATTGGAATGCCCGTATCAAACTCATTTTTAGGCAACATGCAACAGGTACTCTGAGAGAGAACTCTTTCAACATCAGAGGCCCGAGACTGTTCAACACGCTTCCATTACACATAAGGGACATAACTGGCCGACCCCTCACAGTGTTCAAGAGAGAACTGGATAAGCACCTCCAAAAGATACCTGATCAACCAGGCTGTGACTCATACGTCAGGCTGCGAGCAGCCGCGTCCAACAGCCTGGTTGATCAGTCCGGCAACCAGGAGGCCTGGTCGACGACCGGGCCGCGGGGACGCTAAGCCCCGGAAGCACCTCAAGGTAACCTCAAGGTAGGCATATAACATGCAGTTTTAGCTGCCATTTCCGTCAAGATAAGAATAGAGCTGTTTGTTAATATTGTTTTCAAATATTTTTGATAGTATCGGTAGATTTCATATTGGTCTGCAATTACTTATGTCAGCTGTCTCGCCTATGTCACCTGGCGTTACTCTTGCATCTTTAAGGATATCAGGAAAAATATGACACTAGAGATTTGTTGAATAACAGACCTATGAGTAGTACCAGGGCAACCCGTTCTCGCAAATTTAATAAGTCAATATTGACTTATTAGTTGCGTGCATAGGTGACATACTAAACATAATAGTTTCCCTTGAAAAGCTTCATAGAAAACACCGACCTTACCTAACCTACTTAGTATGTTAAGATAAGCATCTTATTGCTTCGTAATTACAATTATTACCTAACCTATACCTATAATAGGTTAAGTAACAATTGTAATTACGAAGCTATAAGATGCTTATTTTAACATACTAAGTAGGTTAGGTAAGGTCGGTGTTTTCTATGAAGCTTAAGATACTAACAAGGTTAGGTAAGGTCGGTGTTTTCTATGAATCTTTTTAAGGGTATCTATTATGTTTAGTATATCCCCTATGCACGTAGTTAATAAGTCTATATTGACTTTACGAATTTGCGAGAACGGGTTGGGGCATGAGAGGCACTCATATATCATAGATGGTATTTCACTAGTGCTCCCAACTTTAGTTGTGAATGAATTATGGATATTGAGAATCCTGGTAGTGCAGTCGGGTTCGTTCTCGACGCACAATTAAGAATTCCGGGTTCGAATCCCGGGCAGGACAGAAATGGTTGGGCACATTTCCTTTCTCCTAATGTGTCTGTTCACCTAGTAGTGAGTAGGTACTCATGAGTTAGCTTGTTGTGGTGTTTCATCCTAGGCGGGGTCACTAATTCGACCTTGGGGGTGGGGGACCGCGATAAGTCAAACGTGTACGAATACACTCTGGCTTCCTGTCCCCCTGACACAATTAATTATTATATAATGTCTTTTGGGCTGATTGGTAAAAGTAGTAGAGTTAGGATAGCTGCCGGTGAGGTATGTTGTATGTTGTAACATGTGTCTGGGTCTCTGAGATTTTTCTGGCAGGGTTAGTACCAATTGATGAAAAGAAGCTATTCAATTCAATTAATGTTTCTAAGTCTGTTGCAAATGTGTAACCATCCTTGGAGAGTTTTACCTGATTGTTATGTGATTGTTGTTTAGATCCAAGACGTTAGAGATGGCTTCCATGTGCTTTTCATCTTTCCATTAGCTTCTTTGAATCTACTCTCATAAAAGGATAGTTTGCCTCTTCTTATTTTACTGGTAAGCATTGATGAGTATCTCTTAACTACTTATTTTGTAACTAGGGCAATCTTATGTTTTTTTCATATTCGTGTTTCTTGTCCATTGCATTAAGTATGCCACTTGTGAACCAGGGGTTATTTAATCTTTTGGCAGTTACTTGCATGGTGAGGATATGACAGTGTGGTGTGTGTTGTAGAGGCTTAGAGTTTTGGAGAGGACGATGTCGGCTAATGAATTTATATCTTGTGTATTACTGAACTCAGATTCCCAGTTTATATTGTGAAGTGCATTTATGAGATTGTGCATTGCTACTTTGCTGTATAGTCTGAGGTACGTTTCTTGATATCCAAAGGTGTTATGTCCATGTTTGCTTTGAAGTGGGTAGGACATTGGTCAGTTGTTCTGTCAGTGATTATACCAGAGGCAAGGGGGATTTATGTTATTCAATATGTGGTCCAAGGTTGTGGCGGATGTTTGAGTGATTCGGGTAGGCTTGGTCAGTAGACGACTTGGAGGGTTATTTTGTTGACAAAGGTCAATGCTTAAGTCACCTAAGATGTGATTTCTGTTGAGCTTGTTTATGATTAGATTGTTTAGGTTATCTGAGAATGCAGTTGTGTTAGTACAGTATTGGGAAATCTATATAAATAGCTCCAGTAGTTATAAAGGATTTAAGGGATTAAAGTATACCTCTAACCTAATGCAGCTGGATTATGTTTAACAAGATCGACTCCACATTGGTGCAAAGTATTTCACAAATAGTCCAACATATATGGTATACAGAGTTCTGAATGACGTCTTGTTCACATTTCTTTAAAAAGTCCTTTTGTTGCCCAACATTACATATGTAGCTGATGTTATCAGGTTTGCGTGTGCCTCAGGAAATAGGCTTGGTGTGATATTTTCCCTTAAGTCTTTTCTGTTCAATTCTAGAAAGGTTTTCCTCACCAGTTGGAACCTTGTATCTGGCTTCCTGTTCCCAGCAACATTCATCATTACACTATATTTGCCATTAACAAAAATAATTCCAGAGCAAAGTCAACTCACGTATCAGGAACGGTTGAGGGCCACAGGGCTAACACCACAGCAAATCAGGCATGACCAGGAGAATTTCATTGAAACTTTTAAAATGCTTAACAATTTGGAGTATGTTGATTCAGACAAATTCTTCAAAATGTAAGATGTAACACAAACAAGGAGCAATGGTCTCAAGCTCAACAAGCCACAATGTAGGACTGAGAACAGAAGATGCATTTTCACCCATAGGGTTATAAACACATGGAACCGCTTACTTGATGAAGCCGTAAATGCCAAACTGTTAATTTTTAAATCCAACTGGAAAAGATAAAGGCAAATGGGGGGGGGCACTTTTGACAAGCCGCCGGCTTCATGTTTTCATCAAGGCCATTAGTGTTGGTGGCCTTCAGGTAAATTCAGGTAGATATGTACAGAAGCAGCCACTTCTTAACCATTCTTGCAGTTTGTTCAGGTCTTCTTGTAGCGTCTTACAGTGATACTCTGTGATGATCCTCATAACTTTATGATCATCAGCAATAAGTAATCTGTACCCTCTACCCTCTGATTACCCTCTGGGAAATCATTCATGAAATCCTAAATAAGATGGGTCTTAGTCTTACCCTATATGATGCAACTAGCTGGTATTGCATTATTCTACCCCTGAGGGTCATACACAAGCCCTTATAACATGCAGCTTAAGCTAATTACCACTAAAATAACTGTTAGTGTATATTTCATTTAGTTTAATGTGTTATTAATTATGGCACAGCATATCTCTTATTTCCTATGGGTCAAACTTTTCATTCATGGCAAGAAAATATAGAACTCAATGGAACTCTGACATAGCTTCCATCATTGCATTGTAGATACAAGTGACATTATGGTAAACTATAGTTAGTTAGGTGAAATATCATCCAAGGGTGAAATATCAGCATGGAGCGTCATGATGTAATGCAGTGCCTGTGGGCCAGATAGCTCCTACCAGCTTAATTAATATCCAACAAGTGTAGGTAATGGTCACTTTAACAAGACAAGTGAGATTTAAGACCATATGCAAAGGGTATAATGCTCCATATCAACTAACCCTGGCTTTGCGCCCTGGTGAGGCCACTCCAGATCGACAACCAGAGCGCAACACCATAGTCTCCTGAGACTGATGGATGCCTACTACTAATCTGGAAAAGCAGGAGCCAACTTGTATGTTGGTATAATGACTAGTCAACGTCATATCTAGGACCATGGGAGTCAACATAGGACGGAAAAAAGGAGGCTGTTAAATTCTTTGGAGACTGCAACAATAGTTCTACCATCTTCTGTGAGCTTTAATTCTTTTTGTCCAAGTGCTGAATGTTGATTGGATACTAGGAGGAAAACGTCTGGAACTTTTTTCAAGGAAAGTTGTTGGGAATCAATTTGTATATGTACAAGTTAAACTCTCATCAACGTATTTGAGTTTACAGATGTTTAGTGATGATTTGGTAGCCATTAACTAGCATATAAACATTGTGCTTAATTTGGGATGTGAATACTGCCAATATTGGGAGCTGGTTATTTTTTATTTGTGGTACTCTTGTGAAAGCCGGTGACCCCAACAAAATGTTGAGTAAAGAAGAGCTACAAGAAGACCTTTTTATTCGTATTGCCCCAATATAAAAATACTGTATATAAATAATACAAATGACACCAAACCGAGTCTCACCACCTCACAGTAATGGCTTTTTGTTTTTCTAGTTATATGTACATATATTAAGAAAATCAATTGGAGGACTTAAACCTGCAATCAGGGTACTCCCAGCTACACACCTTACCCTTGCACCATGACATGGTACATTTTCTCATTGATACATACAGTATCACATTAGTGAGAGTTTTGTAAACATTAGATATTATTATTATTGGATAAATTCATTATTTCAGTACTGTACAGCAAGTTCAGTAAGTTGTGGTGGGAGATGCCAGAAATGCTTTTGTAATGTGCATTATGCATTTTGTGGAGCTAGATGAAAATATCTTGGCTTTGGGGAAGTCCATGACATGCATTGCCATGGACTTATCCATATAATTTGTATTAACGTGCAAATTCACTCTGCATGAAATTTTCTAGGAGTACATCCTCTTTCAAATTAAGGGACTATTGCACACTAAAGACTAGTGTAACTGATATAATTTACAAGTGAAATATTAACTAACACACAGTTCAGCAATGTCATCCACTTCACATGTAAAAAGAGTGCTAATGAAATTCCCATAAAACCAGTCATAGGATACAGATGATAATTTCCATAAGCAATTATCCTGTTGCTGAAGGCTTTCTTTATACCCGACAGATCATGAGCTAGACAACTATGGTGTCAAGACCTTCCATGACCTTGTTTAGGTTACTTATCTGAATAAAGAATATACTTGTTGTGGAAAATTCTATTTTATTATTTATATATTTATTCATCATAGTTAATAAAGACAGTCCATTTTTTAAGTTTGTCTATAGTGTATTGATATTTTTTGGTGTTAAACACTTCATTAACATTCAAAAGCAAAATACAATCATTGTAATATCTCTCATAACTGCAATTATAAATTTAGTTAATAAAATTATACCGTGTCTTATAACCAGAGGCTGAGCTTCTTAAAGTTATGCTTTGCTCTTTCAGCTGATCTCTGATGCAAGTGATTACCTAGCACAGAGAAGCCAACTTTACCGACGACAAAACTAAATTCACTATGTAATTTGGGAATAATTTTCACTTGATCATTAGGACAAATCATCATAAATGTATTCTTGGTCTCCCTAATGACAATTCCTTGTGTGCCTACATACTCAGAACACCTTGATTTGGTAACTCTCATGAAACAACCAAAATATAGGGATTTGTGAGGTCGTCGTCTAGCTTTCTTATGGGGCCTCGACATTACAATATTCACATTAAATTAATCAAATTTATTCATTTAATTGTCAGTTAAAGTGAGGTATTGTACAGGGAAATTAAGTAATGGGAAGGGAATCAACAATAGGTTCCCAGAAGAGGGAAATAGAACAGGTCATAAGTGCCAGGTATTTTTCTTGCTATGGTGAGAGGTTTTCATGAATTTCCATTAGAGTGAGACTCATAAGAAAAATAAATGGAAATATGCCTTTTGTATGCCATAGCTACAGTATGTAAATTGAATTTAATCTGTTCCACAGATCATAAGTCCCCAAGAAATATTAACTTTAAAACCCCCAAAAATACATTTTATACCGAATAACACTCATTTTGTACTAGCTACAATACAGTACTGTATGTATATCTTACCTTGAATGAGGACTCTTGTTGCCATCTGGAAGATGGTGAGGAAGAGGAGAGGTGTTAGTGTTTGGAAGGGGAGTCCCCTTCCATTATAACATCAGGCAGTGATGACTTTTCTGGGGTACTCTCCTACATTTTGCTTGCATACCACTAGCACCTGCTTGTGGCTCACTACTTGTATTTCTCACTAAAAACCTGTCTAGCGACACTTGTTTTTCCTATGTTGTAACACTTGTCTGAAGTGAGACATCACATTGTCATTAAAAAGGTTAACTCAATGGCCTGTTACAGCTAGATTTGGGTGACACTTTTCAGCAAAATATTGCAATTTTTCCCATACTGCACACATTTTCTTAATAAATGAGGAAGGGACATCCTCTACTCTACATCAGCAACTCTCATACCATTTTCAAGTCTACGAATGATCTCTTGTTTTATCCTCTATGGTCATCCTCACATGTGTTTTCTTAAGTTGAACCTTACCACTGACTTTCTTGGGGCCCATGATGTGATATATAATAACTGCTTTTATGTTCAAAAAATAAAAAAGCACAAAAATAATGAAATTCTTTACAAGCATGATTGTCACTAAGCTGGCGGCTCTGGTAAACTGAGGTGGGGTCAGCCGTGGCACCAGGAACTAAGTGATCGGTCGACCCATACGCGTATCAACAAAGTTGCTAGTCGAGGCAAAGGTTGTAAGTCAAGTCCCATTTTCCGGCGAAATTTACGTTGTAACTCGAAAAATTCCTAAGTAGGGGCAGTCGTAAGTCAAGGTGCCACTGTATAAAGCATTGCTGCTGAGCAGTTTCTTCATGGTGTGTAGGTGATGCAAGAAGTACATAAACACACACTCACCTCATCAGTAACTTCATCTTTATCAGCACTGGGAACAGTAGCCTCAAGAAAGTCTCGGAGTTGCTGCTTGGATGAACCAGCATCTGCCTCATGTGCAAGACCAATTAAATCTGATGAACGTTTTATGACAATTTCTGGCAACTCTTCATAGATTTTCGAAGTTCTTACTTCCATTGTGCAATTTTGCCTGTAAAAAGCAAATAGTATCATTAATAATAAATTATTCCTGTGAAATAAGAGACTTCCTAACACCCATAAGCGTACTGATTCCATAAACATTTGTCAGACAATTAGGAAAGCTCCGAGATACATCATCATCAAAAGACAATACGACAATTACTAAGAAGCACTTAGGATATTTGATCACTGCTTCATAATCTGAAAATTGGATTTAAATTCTTAAAACTAATAAGATGTAGAAAAGCTTTATGTAGTGTCTAAGACATTTTTGTTTTAAACAATCTTAATTATTGAAAATATCAAAGGATAATGCAAATTCAAACATTAGGTATATAATCAAGTAAGGCTAAAAATGGTTGCTAATTCTCTGTGTTGTACAATACGGTATCTAATCTTAAGTTCTGGATGGAAGTGTCTTCGACTTTTTCTTTTAATGCATCCCACTTGCTGACCGCTCCTACTGCGTATGAGTATTTCCTTGCATTTCTATGACTCAACTGTGAGTGCAGCTTTCACCAATGTCAATGTCCTCTTGTCTAATTTTCTATCAATTTAAAGATGCTGTCTTTGTCAATCCTCTCCATTCCTCCTAAGTATCTTGTATGTTGTAATCATATCAACTCTTTCTTCTCTCCTTTAAGATTGACTCTTTAACTTGTTTTCATAACTCAAACCACTTATTTCTGATAATGAAATTACAACCTTCAATACTTTTAACATTTCTATTGGTGTTTCATGAGGTAAAGTTTATGCTGGTGCTCCAAATTCTAGTATTCTTGTCAACCACAAACTATATGTATGGCCTTAAAAGTGTCCTTATCTAGATATTTAAATGTTGTTCTTATGTTTGCCAGGATTCCAAATACTGCTAGTATTATGGTGTAAATTCCTTCCGGTCTTCTACATTACTTAAAATTTTATTTCATCCCAGTTCACATTCTATTAGGCTAGGCTGGGTTAAACGAGTACAAGTTAGATTAAAAACAATAATTAATTAATTTTGTTGGTGGCAGGAAGCCTATGTGTATGTATATATATATATATATATATATATACACTTCAGGAATGTAAGGAGGTATCCCCCTTTCCATGGTCAAACTACTGACCCTTCCCAGGATGTAACCCTAAAACTGTTGCCTAACTCTTGGGTATCTATTAGATGAACAGAGGCATTCGGTGAAAGGAAATGCACCAAAGCATTTTTATCATGCTCAGAAATTAAACCAAAGATCCCCACTTGCACCAGTATGCTACATATACACCACTGCACAAATCATCGCCACTAAATGAAAAAAAAAAAATCATAGATCTCTTCTTCAATGTCATTTTGTATCTGTCCATATAACACAATATCTAATGAATATATGAAAATTGCATTGCAATAAGACTAGACACCCTTTTTTTTTTACATGTGTCAGATTTATCCAAAGAAATATAGAAAACAAAAATAGGGTATTATAGGGTATATAGGGTAATTTTTTTTTTTTTTTTTTTTGAGATTTATATACAAGAGTTGCTGCATTCTTGTACAGCCACTAGTACGCATAGCGTTTCGGGCAGGTCCCTGGAATATGATCCCCGCCGCGAAGAATCGTTTTTACAACCAAGTACACATTTTACTGTTGAGTTAAACAGAGGCTACAGTTAAGGATTTGCGCCCAGTAAATCCTCCCCGGCCAGGATATGACAAAGCGCTCGCGGAACGCCAGGCGAGTGTCTTACCACTACACCACGGAGACCACTACACCACTAATCTGTAGTAGTAAGAGTCCGTATTCAGTTAGTTGTTGTTCTTAATTTACCATTATCATATATTATGTTAGAATACTAAAACTACCACATACTTGCAATCAGTTTTTTCTAGGTAGCGTGACTTGAATTCCTGTTCTACTACTACGTGCCGTAATGTTGATGTTGGTACGAAAGGCAGCGACGAGACTAAGTCGTATGTGCCCTGCTAGTCCAAATTTAGAGAAGGTAGTGAGAGTATACTCCCTTGTGAAGAAATATAGCGGTCAGCGGGAGGACGAGTCACAGCTTACAGCCTTCTTCTTCTTGATCGTAGGTGCAGTTTGCATGTTCACAGTCTGCCCTGACCGCCCAGGCTGCCGCAGCGTCTCCTTCTCATACTCTACAACGTACTACGAATAGTTTGCACAAAAATCATATTGAATCTTTTCTTAGCAAAAAAATATAAAACTTTTTAACTTACTTTTACATTTTTAAATAATTATGAGTTCAGTGTACATTAAGTTCGAAGTAACAGCACATAACTTTAATAGAAACAAAGGCAAGTGTGGGTTTGTGTGCTGGATGAGAACGATTGTCTGTTTACCAACACAGATCAGCTGTTGTAAACACGAGGATAATTTTGTGTGCAGTCATCGGGAGGACAACCTTTTCATGCAAACTGCACCTACTATCAAGAAGAAGACTATTGTGTTGTTTGTTAAGTTTAATTTTTTTTTAAGTTTTGCCCCGAGGGGCGAGTTTACTGGGTAGCGCCACTCACTACACCGCCATAGCAGCATGTACAACACCCCCAATAGGAAGAAATCCCGCTGGGTTGTTCATCCCTTTATTATGCACCCATACCCATCCCGTGGGCGGTGGTGGGAAGGGTTACAGAGGCCTAATCGGTTCAGGAGTTGAACCCTCTAGTTCGTTTAGCTAAGCAAATCAAAATCTTTTGACGCTAGTTACACAATTGTTAATGTTATACTGTGTGTATATATATATATATATATATATATATATATATATATATATATATATATATATATATATATATATTGTATATATATATATATATATATATATATATATATCATTTACACAAATGCATATATACACATCGATAATCTTTTGTATCACAAGTGATTTAATTAGAGGCTCACAACAGTCACTATACAAGGCACTTTACATCTGGGGTGAGTCACACATGGAAACATCTGTTAGATTTGGATGTGACAAAGACTATAGGTCCGGATGGAATCTCACCATGGATTCTAAAGGAAGGAGCAGAAGCTCTGTGCCTGCCACTCTCCATGGTGTACAACAAATCACTGGCAACAGGAGAACTGCCAAAAATTTGGAAGATGGCCAATGTAGTCCCAATATACAAGAATGGTGATAGGCAGGAGGCACTAAACTACAGGCCAGTGTCCCTAACTTGCTTTCCATGCAAGATGATGGAGAAGATTGTGCGAAAAAAAACTAGTAGAACATCTGGAGCAAAAAAACTTTGTAACACAACATCAGCATGGGCTCAGAGATGGCAAAACATGCCAAACAGGTTTAATTCAGTTCTATGACTAGGCAACAAAAATTAGGCAAGAGAGAGAGAGGGCCGAGCAGACTGCATATTTCTAGACTGCCAGAAAGCCTTTGACACAGTACCATAAGAGACTAGTGCACAAACTGGAGATGCAGACAGGAGTGAAAGGGAAGGTACTCCACTGGATAAGGGAGTATCTAAGCAACAGGTCACAGCGAGTCACTATGAGGGGTGAGGTCTCGGAGTGGCGGGGAGTCACCAATGGAGTTCCACAGGGATCAGTCCTTGGACATATACTGTTTCTGATATACGTAAATGATCTCCTAGAAGGAATTGACTCGTTCCTCTCAATGTTTGCTGATGATGCAAAAATTATGAGGAGGATCAAGACAGAGGAAGATAGTATGAGGCTACAAGATGACCTAGACAAACTGAAGGAATGATCCAACAAATGGCTACTAAAGTTCAACCCAAGTAAATGTAAGGTAATGAAACTAGGCAGTGGAAACAGGAGGCCAGTCACTGGATGCCGAATGGGAGATGAAGTCCTTCACGAAACGGACAGAGAGAGAAAGATCTAGGAGTTGATATCACGCAAACCTGTCTCCTGAAGCCCACATCAAAAGAATAACATCAGCGGCCTATGCGAGGCTGGCTAACATCAGAACTGCTTTCAGAAACCTGTGTAAGGAATCCTTCAGAATCTGGTATACCACATATGTGAGGCCAATCCTGGAGTATGCAGCCCCAGCATGGAGCCCGTATCTAGTCAAGCACAAGACGAAGCTGGAAAAAGTTCAGAGGTATGCCACTCTGCTAGCCCCAGAACTAAGAGGCATGAGTTATGAGGACAGGCTGCGTGAACTGCACCTGCAAGACAGAAGAGGTCGGGGAGACATGATCACCACATACAAAATTCTCAGGGGAATTGACAGGGAAGTCTAGCAACCGCTTATCAGAATATGTTTGCAAAATAGGTGTTCCTACAGTATACTATTTCATTGCTATAATTCTTCTTAGTTTTGTGTCATTTGCACGCTAGATACATAACAGTACTCACATCTGTGTTAGGTAAGTTCGACGGGCTCACCATAGCTCGTGCAGCTTGGAACTTGCTGTTCCGAGTAGTTGAATCTAAAACAACAACAAAATAAAAGTAGATAGGAAAAAATAAGCGAGTCATTGCATCAAACGACTGAATTTAAAAAAATGGTGCCCAAGAATTACGGCTCGACCCGCAGGCATATTGTTGCTGTTGTTTAAGATTCACTACCATGAACAAAAAGTTACAAGAAGCACGGGCTATGGTGAGCCCGTAGTGGACTTTGCTCATATTTGGTGTGTTTGCACACCAAATATGTGTGTGTGTGTGCGTGTGTTGGGGTGGGACGAGTGTGGGGGGGTGATGGGTGGCAGAGATAGTGTACGTGCCTGGCAAGGGAAGCGCGCCTACCAGTGTTCCAGTTCGCCTTGCTCAGTACACATGTCCTGCAGCAAGTAGCCGAGAGCTACATGTCTGCAGTATTTTTCTGGCGGTGAGTGCCTTGGTGTTCCCTCTTAATTAAATATACGTTGAGCGGTGATAACGATTCCAAATACTGTATGCCTGTGATGGTTTGACTCATGACAAGCTGATATAAATGAGCAGTATCGCGTTGTAAATTAAATATATTACTCCCTGGTGAGTTTTCCCCACCTGCTCCGCCTCACTGATAGTATCCGGGTCAGATAGGCACGATGGTAAACAAGATAGTGTTAGACTAACTTATTTGTGGAAATCACACACTGTTATGATTCCGCAGAATAATCGACTTTGACACATGCCGCAGCATAATTCTATACCACACTTTCATTCACGGTTACTGTTCTTATTTGTGTATCATGCATGTACTATTAATATTATTAGTCAGAAAATGAGTAGGAGCCGTGGTGTGGGTTCGAACCTATGCAGTGGGTTTTCCCACGCCCACGCTCTAGTGACAGCACTCCAGTGATGCAGTCACCTTAGTCTGGTTACTCTGAATATTATTAGTGTTAATGAGACATGATTACCTCACTGACTATGAGGAAGTGAGGTTTGTGGGTGCCCACTTTGACTCTTGTGATTGGTAGGTGTTGAATGTAGCTCTCGAGGTGTAGGAAGCGGCTTCTATGGTTATTTCCTAAAAATTTCTTCGAATTAATTGGATTTCTAGATTCTAACGATGACTTTTCTTATTTTCTTTCAGTTACAAAGTCACTATTGTCTACATTGCCTATTCTCTTCAATATTTAAAACGTATTTTTGTCTGCCTCTAGAAGAAAAGGGTAAATATTGGTTTGGAAATATGGTTGTAGATTTATAGAACAGATTACATGGTAACATAATAGACCTGGGATTGCTGGAAGGTTTTAGACGTATATTTGACAAATTCGAGTGAGTTTTGTTTGCTATAAATTGTATTTTCCTTGCATGGGACAGTAAACCTTGTACAGTTTCTTGTTCTTACGTGAGTGGCATGGAGTAAAGAGTAATATAAACTTGTTGCTCACGTAATAAAGTGCTTACTGATTATTTTCTAGAGTGAAGTTTTAACCATACTACCCAGCAGTACAATGGAGGATTTAATGCTCCATAAGAGTCTTCTTTACGATGCGTGCAGTTTGCATAAAGGTTTTCTGATAACTGCAAGAGTGGTAATGTTTGGAGCCACGTCATAGTGGCGCGGCAATGTTGACAGCTTGGCAGTTGTGTTTAGACTTGATACGCAGCACTTGGCGAGTTTAGTTTAATTCATTTATTATGCACCCCATACCCACCTTTTGGGCTGTAGTGTAAATGGTTACAGAGGCACATAATGGGTTCAGGGACTGAACCCCACAACTCATTTAGCTAAGCAAGTTACAAAATTCAGTGCACATCGACACGTCAACACTGGCCTCGAGACCGACTAGAAAAAAGTACAGTCTCTAAGCTAAGTAACAGACATATGTGGAGCCTAGTGTCATGACCTGCCTTCCCCCCCCCCCCCATCCAGTGGGCAACGGTGGGTAGGTTACAATCACTCAGTTACTACCTACAGTTAGCAAACTGGGGATATTTGGCTAAGATTTCTGGTAGCAGATCATTTTGAATGAAATATTGACACATCTCTTGAACATTTGTTTTAGAATTGTCTCTTAATTCATGTATTTTTTCGCACTCACAGTGTCGGTGTGTGTGTGTGTGCGTTAATGGCATCAGCTGATGGCTGCTGTTCTTTGTCGCTAGGGTTACTGTTCCTAGGTATGGTTCAGACGTGGATTAATTAATTGATGGATTGCAGATATTTATAACTAATGCTGTGACTACATGGTATTATATATGTAGTGAGAGGTTTCCTTTCCCTAATGTGCTCGATGCTAGAAGGCACTTTGAGGGGTAATAATTACATGTCTTAAATTAATTCTGGAACTATGGTGTCTGAAACAGTGAAGGAGATAAATGTTCATTTGTGTCTGGAATATAGCAGTGGATGCAACGTTCATATAAGTCTGCTGTAGCACACAGCTGTTGCACAGGTGTGTGCAAACTAAAATATTTCTGTTTTTATGCGTTGTGTTTCAAAGTTTCCCATGATTTTTTATGGTTCCAAAGTATATTGAAGAGCATCATGTTTACCATTTATGATTCCATAATATATCGAAGAATATGATTTTTCCATTTCGCTGCAAAGTTTGGGGTCATAGTGGATTTTAGGGTTCCTTTTCGTGCAATATAGGAAATTAAACTATGTGATGCGAGTTGTATCATGCGTCGCTTTTGCTAGATGACCTAAAAGGTCGTTGTGGAGAATTTCAAGTGTGCGATTTACAAAGGTCGTCAAATCCTGTTTTCTGTATCGTATTACATATCCTTCTCTTGTTATTCTGTCCTTTCTGAAAGGTGGGTGGTGCTCTATAAGATGACAGTCACCTTCAATAATCTCTTCTCGTCCCCCTGTTTAACAGGAAGAGTGTGAATGGCGAACATAGTTGGAATGTTGAGATGGGTGGTGAGTGGTGTAGCCAGCCACACCTGGACGCTGCTGGTCGCCTCCCTCCTCCTGTATGTTGTTTGGTGGGTCCAGCATCGCCGCCGCCAGCATTCAGTCTTCTCCAAGCTGGGCATCCCATACATCACGCCTCATCTCATTTATGGCAGTAATCACGTCATGCGGAAACCCGGGGCCCTCGCCACTGACATTATCGGTCAATGGATACAAGAGTATGGCAAAGTCTTTGGTTTCTATGTCGGCTGGAAGCCTACGCTAGTGGTGGCAGACTTGGACCTTATCAAACAGGTTCTTATTAAAGATTTTCATAACTTCTCCAACCGTCCAGCGCTTGTAGTGCGCGCCCACCCCGTTGTTGACACAGTTGTTGGCCTTCGGGACCAACGATGGAAGGACGTTCGTGCTATCTTGGCTCCTACGTTTTCTATGGTAAAGATGAAGCACATGGCTGGCATCATGAATGAGAAGATTGATGAACTGAACGCAATCATTGGAAAGAAGAGTGCAACAGGCAAGCCAGTGGAGTTGTATTCCACCTTCCAGGGTTTGACGCTGGATGTGATCAGTGAGTGTGCCCTGGCCATGAAGACCAACATCCAGCGTGACCAAGACAAAGATGAATTCTTCGTTGGAGTGAAAGGCTTCTTAAAGAACGCTATCAACCCGGCTATTCTTCTGGCTCTATACTTTCCTGTCTTCGCCAGTGTCATGTCATATGTGAGTAACAAGCTTGCTCTATCAGGGAGGATGACGAATATGGTCGTCAACCATCTCAAGTCTGTCATAGAGGTTCGCCGTAAAGATTTGGACACAAAGTACGTAGACGTGCTGCAGCTGATGCTCGAGGCTGCAGAGTCTCGACAGGACACGTCTGCTGAAGGAGCTGCCACCAATGGTGCGTCCACTCCACTACCGGGTAAAGAGAGGTCGCAACACAAGCTGCTTACGGACGACGAGATCATTGCCAACGCCTGGGTTTTCCTGCTAGGTGGGTTCGAAACGACGGCCAATACCCTCACGTACACCACCTATCTGATAGCAACTCATCCGGAGGTACAGGAGCAACTCTATGAGGAGTTGTGCGACGTCATCAAGGTTAGTAAACAAACTCTAGCCTCTTTTGTTTATATCAGCAAGCTTAGTTACACAGCAGTGGTCTGCTACCCTATTCTATATGAGGGATTACAGGGTATAGATCACTAGCTAGCTATAAGTTCATATAATATCCCCATTGGACAGGATGGTTAGTCTTCTTAGTCTGCACTAGCAAACTCTGGATAGATCACAAGAATATCTGTCAATATCCGTGAGTCAATTAAACGGTTACAAAGCTCAGTGCTTCATGACATGTGGTCTAAAATGACTGAGAACAGGGCATTCACATATAGTGTTGAAAAGTTCTTTGGAGCATGGCGGTAGAGTCGAACCCATTAGACCAGAGTAGATGGTTCTATATAGTTTCCCTGGCTTGGCGCTTTCTATTGATAATTGCTTATTTAACCATTGAACCACGATATGCTTAGAAATAACACAGCCTGGAGTCCATTCAACCTTACCACAGAGCTGATACCCAATCCATATTTTATCAGATATATTACGCTATTGTAATTTAATTGTGTATAGTGGTGAAGGGTGTACAGAGAGTAATCACACATTCTTTATACCCATTAGTATTAAGCTTTAGTCATTAATGTTTTTCCTGCCCGAAACGCTTTGCGTAATAGTGGCTTTAGGCATTGTATGTACTAGCTCTATCTATTAATCCAACAAACTTTGTAAAATCTCTTGTATGTATGTACCTTACCTAAATAAACATTTATTTATTTATTATTTATTTATTTATAACGTGACTGCATCAGTGAAAAAGTACGGCGGAGCCGTGATAAGGGATCGAACTTATGCAGTGGGGGGTTCCCACACACACGTGCTCTAGCGACTAGACCACGACATGGTGTAAGGATTGTAACCTGGAGTACTACTGAACACACAAGTGTTTCCTGAAGCTTTTTACTGAAGCCTGAGTAGAAGCTTCAGGAAACCCTTGTGTGTTCAGTAGAACTCCAGGCTGCAATCCTTATACCTTGTGGTCTAGTTACTAGAGCGTGTGCGTGGAAACGCCCACAACATAGGTTCGATCCCTTATCACGGCTCCTGCTGATTTTCTCGATGAAGTGCGTGTTCTAGCTCAAGTGTATAATAATGAAGAGTGTCTTAGCTCTTTTGTATAGTGATTGAGAGTGTGTCCAAGCTCTTGGTTTAGCGATGAAGCGTGTGTCATAGCTCTTGTGTATAGAGATAATAATTGAAGTTCAGTAGAACTTCAGTTTCAACCCTTTTAACCTTGTCGTAGCTCAGTCGATTAAGGCAGTGTCTGGGATGCTCCCGGACGCAGGTTCGAATCCTCGTCACGGCCCTTGTGGATATGTTCATTTAATAATTGAAGAGTGAACCTTTAGTAGACTCAGTACCTGCAGCCACTAGCCATGAGTGTCATAGTGAACGTTTTATCATTTTTAACATTATATTATTTAATGCTTTGGTCTTCTAAATATACATTTTTTTATCGATTACTTCCGAATACAAATACAAGTGTTTATTAAACAGTCTTATATTTAAGTTTCCTTCATATTTATCTAATCATAATTATCCATCACATGTTTATTCGTAATTAAAACTCACCCCTGTAATACAACCCCCACTCCCCGCGCCTTAATTGAGACAATAACTTTTATAATAATAATTAAGAAATCTTATGTCCCAAAAAAATTCCCAAAAGATGTACCTGATAAAGAAAGCTCATCTCCTTGAGGTTACCATGAGGTGATTTCGGGGCTCAGCGACCCCGTGGCCCGGTCGTCGACCAGGCCTCGTTGCTGGGCTGGTCAACCATGCTGTTGGACGCGGCTGCTTACAACCTGACGTATGAGTCACAGCCTGGTTGATCAGGTATCCTTTGGAGGTGTTTGTCAAGTTCTCTGTATCAAGTTTCAGCAAGCATCATGCTGATGCAAGTTTCATCTCGGCACCATAGCAACGAAGACAGAGGGAATGTGGTCACAATGTACAAAATACTTACAGGTACCGACAAAATGGATAGAGACAGACTAAAAGTGTTTGACTATGACGGGTATGACGATAGAATCAGAGACGGTTGATCACCTGAACCAGCCAAAGAGATGTAATAGTTTCTTAAGCATGGAACTTATTTAAAAAGTTGTTAAAATAATTTGTCATGGAAAATAGTTCAATTAATGGTTAAGAAGCAGGAGCCAGGTGATGAAGCTTAACCCTATCGAACCCAGACATATGAGAAGAGAAGTCCTCGTCACTATTACCCCGTCCTCTTAACGGGTTCATAGCATGCGGTTCTTACGGTAGCCAAACCTACGTTACAAATATAAACTATTAAGGAAAGTAACGCTCATAAATACATTATCTATGTATCAGATTAGATAGGTTAGGTGGGTTGTTTGATGTTCACCACATTTCTGGTTAGGGTAAAAATTTAATTTTTTTTAAGTGCATATGTCGAGGTTCAGCTACTTGATTTCCACATCATCAGCATTTGTGCTATCTTGCTCCTCAGACATCTTTCAAGGACCCATCACAGTCTTCTGTCTCACACACACACACTCGCACATTTCTCAACTCTCACACTCAGAACAGTGAGATTTCTAACATAAAGGGCGTTATTGTCAATTTGGGTTTTAATGAACATGACGTAGAAATGACATGAAATTAACACCTGTGAGTTTTACCAGCAATTGTGGTTTTAGAGGTTATAGTTTTTATTTCAGCCTACAATGCAATTTTCGGTGTGCTGATTGTTGACTTTAAAAATAAAGAGGTTGGTAAATATTTTTGGGCTCAGGGACCTAGTTCTTTCCTGTAGAAACAAGACCACATTCAATGCTTCTAGTTGCACGAGTATTAAGAAGAGTTTGTAAGCGGTTACTTGTGTTTGAAATTACACGGATGACATCTGTGTAGCTGATGACATCCTCGCCAGCTTGTGTAGGTATGATTGTTAATTGTTAGTCTGGATCAATACATTACAAAGCGTAAGGTTGGTCACTCCGCTCGAGGTGCGCCCAATCCAAAATATGCATCAGAACAACTATTTTAATCCCTTATAAATGACTCTGGGCAGTTCAGTTATTAAAGTACCCCGTAACCATTGTCAATGAATATCAAATTATACTAAAAATGGCTATAGTTGTTCAGAGAAGAGTTCACTGTGTAAAATTGAGCTCTTAGATAAAGAAACGCTACACAAGTGATACATTATCACTAAGGCTTGATAAGACAATCGACTTGATAATGGTCCACGACGGACCGAAACGTCGTCGTCTCCTAAGAGCAAATGATGTATACTGCCCATCTTCTGGTGTATGTGTGGTGTTTGGTGATCATTGTCGTTGTTTAAGATTCAGCTGCTGGGAACAAAAAAGTTCCAAGTAGCTCGGGCTATGGTGAGCCCGTAGTGGACTTACCTGGCACAGGAGCGGGGCTGTAACTTGGGATCATTGTCACTAACATTGGCGTGTATCTGCAGGGGGATCCTGACCACCTGACCTACGAGCAGGTGAAGGAGCTCAAGTACCTAGATCAGGTGCTGAGTGAGTCCCTCAGGCTCTACCCACCTGTGGTCACCTTCATCTCCAGAGAGAGTGCTCAAGACTTTAAGGTGAGCTTAAAATATACTTTCTCTATCTGCACTGCCATTCCGGAAGCTCATCCCGCTAATTCATTCCTTCAAGGGTACGTGGCGTGTATAAAGCCATATCCCTAATTTGTGTTTAAACTAACATTGTATACAATATTTATTAAATAAACTAAGTTATCAGAATTATCATTTCTCACACCGAGTCAATTTGATATTAAAATTTCAATTCAAAGCTGTTCATGTTTTATAATTACCGTGGTTCCATATAGTAAGGCTGGATTGAGCAAAAAAACCGACTGTGAATACAAATGGCATTTAACTTTATAAGTCTCTCATGAGTTAAATTTAAACCAACTAATAATAGCAGATTAATGAGCTCACAGCTCATTTTAAGCTCACAGATATAGAGACGTATGTGTTTTTTTATAGATAATATAAAGAATTCAACAAGAGTCTGTACTTAAAAGAAAATTTTAAATAGATTAGATGATTAGTTGCAATTACTGATACAATCAGTGTTGCTAGTGCATGGGGCATTACCACAGAGATTTATCTTAATAGTATCCCACCTTCTCAATCTCCCGTCTTCTAGCCTTCTCAATCTCCCATTTTCTAACTTCTCCTTCATTACCTCTCTATGTTTCCTCCTTGTACCTCTCTTCTCGTCTCCTGTCGTCCCTCCCATCCGTCTTGCGTCAAAATATATCGTGCCACGATAAGTGTAAGAATGCATTTAGATTACCTTTAACAGCTTGGTGATATGGTGATCCCTAAAGACATGAGCATCATGGTACCTATCTGGCAGCTCCACCGTGACCCTGAGCAGTGGACTGACCCTGAGACTTTTGACCCGCACAGGTAAGCTCCCATAAATGTTAATCATTATCTCCACACACTAGAAGGCGAAGTCGACTCTCAAGTCGACTGTGACAAAGACATTCTCAAGACAATCGACTTGAGAATGGTCCAGGACGGACCGACAACGTCGTCGTCCCTTCACCTTCTAGTGTCACCATATGATCTGTGGATGAAATATCGACATCTTTATCAATTTAATTTTGTGATTTCGTTTGCCCCTTATTAATTGTTACTCTAAAAGCATACAACAATGTATTGAAGAGTCAGACATTATGAAGATTAAGTATCATTTCTTATTTCATATATATCAAGGAAAACATTCTATAAATTTTAGTGGAGCTGTAGCAGCGGCTGGACCCGGTTTTCCACTTAACACTTAAGAGGACTACAGGATGTAGATACACACTACAGGATACTCCTGTATCCTGTATTGTGTATCCTGTACACATTATTCCTAGTGTGAGTGATATACAAGGAAACCCAGTGAGATACAGGTATACCAGGAGCATAATGGGCGAGAGAAATATAAGAAAAGCTAAGCATACAAGGAAACCTAATTTGGGTCTTGAAAAGAGGAATAATAAGACCTCAGAGGAAGTCTTAGGCTTGCATGAGTATTTAACAACCGGGGGTAAAGCATGCTGTCTTAAATTTGGCAGCTCTTATCTGTAACTCTGTAGTACATCTTAAAGTGCAATACGTGTTAGTTTAGTTCATTTATTATGCACCCCATACCCATCTTGTGGGCGGTAGTGGAAAGGGTTACAGAGGCACATAATGGGCTCAGGGGCTGAACCCCACAATTCATTTAGCAAGTTACAATCTTGATGAGTTAGTTACAAAATTCAATGCACATAGTCACATCAACAATGGGCTCGAGATCGACCCACAAGTACAGTTTCTAAATTAAGCAACTGACATATGTGAAGAGCTAGTGTCACAATTGACATGTTCGTCCTGCACACCGGCCCCCCCCCCCTATCCAGTGGGCAGCGTTACATACCTTGAGGTTACCTTGAGATAATTTAGGGTCTTAGCGACCCCTCGACCTAGGCCTCGGATAGGTTACAATCACTCAGTTACTACCTACAGTTAGCAAACCGAAGATATTTGGCTAAAATTTCTGGTAGCAGATCGTTTTGAATGAAGTATTATGTGTTATATGCATTATATTCCTAATTCCACACACACTGGTATCCTGGCGCAGGTTCTCCTCGGACACTAAGGCAGCGGAGGCGCGCCACCCCATGGCCTACATACCTTTTGGTGCTGGTCCAAGGAATTGTCCTGGAATGAGATTTGCTCAGCTGGAGGCTAAACTGACACTTGCTAGAATATTGAAAAGCTACAGGTATGTTCTATGACGTACAGCTCTTATTTCACTTCTGTTTATAATGTTGGCTTTATTCCTTAAGCTTTAAAATAAAGTACACATAATAATGGAAGTGTCAATGAAGAACTACCAAACCCACTAAAGATGGTGGTAATGAGGTCAATTTAGGCTGTTATGATTGTTGAAACTGACCCTAATTATCTTATCAAAGTGTAATCCAATCTTATTTCCCAATAGGCTGGAGGCGTGTGAATCCACACCCAAGCAACTGACCTTTATTATCCCTACTGTGGCTATCAACCCAAAAGAAGGCGTGTATGTCAAGGCTGTACCGAGGGAGCTCACTCCAAAGTTATCTTAGTTGTTTTTACAGTAGCCTAGCCTACACTCACCTTGTTGAACCTACCAATACGTAATAATGACTTTCCTGCCACAAGAACAAATCAAATTTTATATACATTTTTGTATTATGGAATTTAATAATAATATGTATATGGAAATGATGTATTTTATCAGCCTTATTCACTTGTCATGCAGTAGAGTACGTCATTCACTATAGGTTACTGTTTTAATGCAGCATCACCTGCCTGTAGAATACAGGTCAAAACGTGGAAGCCGTAAAGGAAACGCAGTTAGTTAGTTAGTGTAGTTCATTTATTATGCACCCCATACCCATCTTGTGGGCGGTAGTGGAAAGGGTTACAGAGGCACATAATGGGCTCAGTGCTATCTTGTGATAGCTATCTCAAAATATTTAGGAATACAATTTGTTTGTGTTATGGTTTCCCATTGTTGAAGACGGGAAAGCTGGGTGAACAGAGGCGTCTGTGAATGGAGACGTCCCCAGAGGTCTCGCCCTGCCCAGCCTCGAGTCTAATCGGTTACGAATGTTAAATAAATCGTCACATGTGTCTGCATAAAATGGTAAACAGTTGAGGCTGGCCAGAGTGAGCCTCGACCTATTGCTGACAGTACAGTCGCTAGCTGTTGGACCACTTCTCAGTGATCTCTTTCTTTTTTACTATCTCAGTGGCAGCTTCTACATTTCGCTTTAAATTCTTCACCCACGTACTACAAATACAAATAATCGCCAACAGAAACTAAATCTAAAAAAAAAACAGTTATCGTGGTGATGTAAAGCACTCTTTACCACTCTTTAACGGTGCTTTGAGTTCGTATCCTGGCCGGGAAGGATTGACTGGGCGCCAGTCCTTAACTGTAGCCTCTGTTCCCCCGAGCAGTGAATGAGTACCCTGGTTGTTAAACGATTTGGCGGGTCGTATTCCGGGGAAAATTAGGATTAAGGACCTGCCCGAAATGCTATATTGGATACAAGAGTTGTTACAGTCTTGTATATATGTCTTCTATATGCATGCTAGTGGCTGAACAAGAATGATGAAATTCTTGTAATATAAATTGTGATGACTATGGGGTGCACAATAAACTGCCACTCACAGGATGAGTACGGTGTTTACAATAAACTATGTAAACAAGTATGAGGCACCTAATAAACTACCGCTTATACAGGATAGAGTGCACACCCTTGCCAACAGCGGCCGGTATGTTGGCGTCAAGACTGTGACGTCATGCTCCCTCTGGTGCCAGTGGGATAAAAGTCACATCGTACACAAGACAATTCGTCAACCAAATTTTTTAGAAATATCTTTTTTTTTTTTTTTTTTTTTTTTTAGATATATACAAGAGTTGTTACATTCTTGTACAGCCACTAGTACGCGTAGCGTTTCGGGCAAGTCCTTAATCCTATGGTCCCTGGAATACGATCCCCTGCCGCGAAGAATCGTTTTTTCATCCAAGTACACATTTTACTGTTGCGTTAAACAGAGGCTACAGTTAAGGATTTGCGCCCAGTAAATCCTCCCCGGCCAGGATACGAACCCATGACATAGCGCTCGCGGAACGCCAGGCGAGTGTCATGTCATCTCTAACCTAACCTAGCTCAACACAACCTAAACCCAGCTCAACCTAATACAACCTAACCCATGCTAATACAGCCTAGCATAATAATATATATATGGTTTTAGCAAGCAGAGAATGAACTTCTTCGAACTGCCCGAAACACTGTGCATACTAGAGGCATACTAGCTTTATCTACAAATCCATCATTCTATTTTTAACTCATATTGTATGCATGTACCTTTACCAGAATAAACATTATCATGATTATAATAATAATAATAATAATAATAATAATAATAATAATAGTATGGTGTGCGAAGCGACCATCCCCGTGTGAGTGGCCCGAGGCTCGCATCACCCGCTGGGAAAATGGCAGTGGACGACGACTACGATATTCCAGGTTAAACCTTTTTCTTGTATTATTTCTCATATTCTAGGCGTGAAGGACGGTGACTGAGGGCGTCGTGGGGATAGGTGGAGACGTGGGGCTATGCTGGGAGGGATTAGGAGGGCCACCAAGATGATTAATTAGATCTTTTAGGTATGCTAATTAGTGGTGGTGCAGTAATTAGCGGTGGTGCATCGCTCCGGCGTAAATAATATATTCCTAGTTTGTATTTAACGTTGTTTTTTGCTGTGTTGACGAGAAATGTGTTGTATTTTTCGCAGAATTGTTGAAAATTTGAAGAGTATAGAAGAGAAGTGTGCAGGAAGGAACAGTAGTCAGACCTGAACACGCAGGAAATTGTCATTATGAAGCCACACACATTATGCACATTATGTATTAATTGTATTTCAACATTTTAACCCATATTTTGGTTAGGATAGGATAGCTTTAGGGTTTGGTTAGTATAGGATAGTTGTAGGGTTTGGTTAGGATAGAATAGCTTTAGGGTTTGGTTAGTATAGGATAGATTAGGTATGCTTAGAGCAGCAATGACAGGGTGATGAGGTGGTACTTTATTTACTTATTTATTAATTTATTTATTTATTTATTTATATACAAGAAGGTACATTGGGTTTGAGAGAATATATAGCATAGTATTTACAATCTTTCTTCACATCTTGGAGAGAGGACATATTGACCGAAGTATTGCACTTTCTTATTAGTAATTGGAGAATAGTCCGAGTGCACCCCCCACTTAGATTATTGCATCCAAGCATGGGGACCTCATCTTCAGTAAGGCACAAGGGAGAAAGTTCAACACTGGGCAACAAAATTAATTCCAGAACTAAGTCAACTCTTGTATCGGGAACGGTCGAGGGCCACGGGGCTAACAACACTGCAGACCAGACGTGGCAGAGCTGATCTCATCGAAACTTAAAATACTGAACAGTTTGGAGGATGTTGATCCAGATAATTTATTTCAGGCTATTTCTTTAAAAGGTCTTTAATTCAATGCACTGCCTGAAATGCTATGCGTGTTAGTGGCTTTACATAAATGTAAAAATACCTATCTTTTATGTAATCTCACCAACCCATTGTACCTTCTTGCAAATAAATTATTATTATTATTATTATTATTATTATTATTACAATTATTATTACAGTATTAATTCAGATTATTTCTTCAGAAGGTCAGATGTAACACAAACAAGGAGCAATGGTTTCAAAGTCAGGCCACAATGTAGGACTGAGAACAGTAGATGCTTTTTTTTATCTACAGGGATATAAACCCCATGGAACCGCTTACCCGCTAAAACTGTCCCTTAAGGGCATTGCTCTTGTTGGGTGCATTTGTTTATTAGTACTGTACCTATACAATGTTTTGAAATAATTTTGATGTGTAAATACAATTACTTGTATATCTATTTTAGTACAGTAGTCAGCACAGTCTGTTCAAACTGAATTACAGTAAAACCTCAATTCAACAAACCCTGATTCGGCAAATCACCGGTTGGGGAACACACTTTCCATGCTGAATTTACTCACCCGATTCAGTGAACAAGAGTTTGCTGAAGCGGGGGATGTGTGGCTTTGCTTAGGATGTTGGGGACCGAGTTCACAGAGCGAGGAAACATTACACGTAACAGCTGAGGCCTTAGGAAGCCAGTGAGCATATTTAAAACCAAATTCTCTGCTTCTTTCATATTTCCAGTTGCAGAGATTTTTGTTCAGTAAAATATGGGCCCCCTTTTCCTTAGAAAATGAGATTGGGGCTTGGGAGTGGGGAACTTGCTAGATGTGGTTAAAATCTCTCTACAGACAGGCTCTCTTGGTTTTTGGCCTTCATACGACAGGTTGACATTATAATTTTGTTCAGTGAAATCAGTCCATAGATCATGGGGAAATGTTAAGTATGAAAAATGTTAACTTTTAACCACTGCACTGCGCATTGCACCTGAAGGCACTCGACATGTGGTGTAAACTTTTTTAATACTGTATAGCAATATTTTAATGTTTTTAATGGTTTCACTCTGTGATTTGAAAAGAAATTTTTTTTAATTTGGCACTATTTTGACATTTTTCATTTTTTTTTTTTTTAATTTTCAGTTAATGTTAATAATTCATTAAACAGTGGAGAATTCATAGACAAGAAATGTATGTCACATTTGCTCTTCAGTGTAATCGGTGCCAATAGGCTAAATGTTATAATTTGGAAAACCCCAGATACAGCATCAGTCAAGCATCCATCCAGCTCATGGTTAAAAAAAAGTTCCCAAAGATTATGGATATGTTGGATACAGGCCATTGGGTACTGATGGAAAGATTATCACTGCACTGCTTGGATAAATTCAGATAAATTATTCTATATTGGAATATTATAGTTCAGTGCACCATAAGCTGTTTATAGCACATCCAGAAGCATTAAGTAAAGGGGTTCATTGTTCTGATTCACCAAATATTTTACTGAAAGAGAAATCACTGAGCCTAGAGATGTTTCATTCTCCAATTCATTACCTGTAATGTGTTACACAGAAACACAAATTTTTCTATATACTATATTTGACTTTAATTTTAAATTTGTTGTTTAACTGCTTTTAAGTTATATATACATTTTAAATTTTTCAGATACTGGGGCTGTGTTTACTTTTGGCAAGAGCAGGTTTGCTGATAATGCTCCCTCAAAGTTTTGGATAAAAAATGATAAGATCGTAGAACTGGCATGTGGGGATGAGCACACTGCAGTTGTTACAGGTGTGTGGGGGTTTATCTAGTGCCGGTCTGTATTAACCCTCTAACTCTGCACCCTGAATTAGGTTAATTTTCTGGTGCCCATGAAAAAATTTCTTTCTACATTGTAAAATATTGCTTTCTGATGTTAGAAAATTTTTTTAATAATTTTAGTTTGGCTGTAGTGAGATGAAAAAATAATATTAATAATTATTATTATAACTATTTAATTTAACCAAGTGAACAGACATGCATGCATTCAATATATGAACAGTGGTGGATTCATAAGTAAGATGAGTATAATGCTTAAAGTCACTGATGATGATATCAAATTCTGAGACCTAAATTTAATGTAATACATTAATGTTTAATGTAATTATTGTATTAATACTGTATCTTCCTGGTCCTTAAAGTCCTTGAAATATTGCATGGAATGACTGGTTTCTAGCATAGGTGTCCATAAATAGGTGATGCATCTGACTTGATTCCATTTTTTTTTTTCAGTAACACAATTTTTTATTATTTCTAGTAATTATTTCTTATTTTTTCAACTTATTTCCAGTAAGGCAATATGAATTTTGACTTAAGACCCATCTCTGGGAACAGATTAAACTCGTAAGTCGAGGCCCTACTGTAATAATAAGAATGTTATACTTATGAAGTACCTAAAAGATATAGAGGTGTTATAAAATGGATGGTGGTAGCATACAGCTTATAAATTTGTTATTATTAAACGAGCACTCAGGCTGACCGCACTCGGCCCTCTTACTTAAATCTTTGAACATGTTAGATATTAAATCACTGCACATCCTCTCAAGTGTACTCTTAGATATATAAAACTGAACTGTAATGCCAATCCTGATGTTAAATGCTTCCTAGAAGGTTGTAACAACTCATGGGCACCACACTAGAAACAAATATCTGTTTGCCAAGAGTGCGACTTAACCAAACTAGAAATGCTCTGCAAATGAAAGGAACAAATATGTGGAATGACCTTCCTAATCACGTCAAAGACTGCCCATTTCTCAATGGTTTTAAGATAAAATTTAAGTACTGTTCTACCTAATCAACTCCATTTAACCTACCTTACCTCCTAAATGTCAACCTATGTCTTGCTATTTTCAAACATTATTGATCATTGACCAACTTGTACTGTATAACTGCTGATGTCTGCCATGTATAAACCTAAAGAAAATTGTAGCCTGTCTGTTTATTTAGTTAAAATTTCTTCTGCTGTACTGTTGCAATTTCTGTTGTTCCATCCAACATGTAATTATTGTCATTTTTTTGTTTCTTTCTTCCCCCCATTTCAGTTCAAATCATGCTTTTGATCTCAATTAGTTTTAAAGTCTTGGTTTTTAAGTTTTTTTCCCATTTCTTGCCCAAAACTCTGTGCATATTAGTGGCTTTAGGAATAGTATATACACTAGCTCTAACTATAAATTCAACATTCTGTTTGTAACTCATTGTGTATGTATGTACTTTTACCTGAAGAAACATTATCATCATTATAAAACATTATCATTATCAAATGTTTAAATTTAAATTGTTTATAATGTACAGTACTGTACTTCAGAATTTCTATTCTCATTATTCGTGTCATAATTATATAAAGACATGAAAACACGATATTTAGTTGTCTTGATATGCAGTAATTATATTTTTTAGCTTAAGCTTAGTGTCTCATATGTACTTGTTATGAATAAGCTTATAGGAAATTGTGTCCCATTGTATTTTCTTGTCTTACATTTCTTGTTCGTATATTCAGAAAGTGGTCGGGTGTTTATGATTGGCAGTAATGACATGGGACAGCTGGGTCTTGGCTCCACTAAGCCTGTCTACAAACCATCATGTGTAAAAAGTAAGTTTAGCTGCACTTGTTCACCCTCATTTACTTTCCTCTGAACAACCAAATAACTTTGAGAATTTACAGAGATTAAGCTTTTTGTGTCAAAACTTCTGAATCTCCTTTTATTAATATGTGATAATTAAAAGTACTTTTTTGTGCTGTATCTTGATGCTTTTCTGCATTGACATGATACATCAAACACTAATAATAGTGAAGATGATATTTTAAAAAGATGATATGGAAGATATTTTAAATGATATTGAAGATATTTTAAATGAGGTCATATTCCCAAGGGGCTACTCAGTTTGGAGATGGGACAGAAAAAATTAGGAAAGGCAGTGGTGTGGCCGTACTGGTGAAAGAACACCTAAAAGTAAATGAAATAATGATTGCAGATCCATGAGAAGTTGACATAATATCACTGGAGATCTACAATCAGGATGATAAACTAATAATCATAAATGCATATATAGTCCACCACCATGCAACACATGGACAAAGGATGAGCTGGATAATAAACAAGAGGGTTAAATGATCTACCAGATGGAATACAGAATTATATGAACATGTTTGCTGATGATGCTAATAGGGAAGAAGATAAGAAACTTAGGTGATTGTCATGCCCTTCAAGAAAAGTCAGTGAGAGATGCTGCCACCAGGTTGAAGTGAGGTGTAGCGAGCGGGGCTTTGAAATTGACATGTATTAATCCAGACTTCCCATCGGTGATCTTGAATGTAATGTCGTTGGGAATCTGTAATACTTGAGCTTGTACAAAAGCTGTGAAACTTCTTAATTTTTACTGGATAGATTGTATCTATTGCTGCCAAGTACCATATAAAGATCAAGGCAAATGGGGGGGGGGCATCGACAAGCCGCCGGCTTCCTGTCCCTCATCGAGGCCACTAGGGCTAAGGACCTTCAGGTAAATTAGGTAACCCTATAGGGGCATAATGTCTCCTGTGGTGTATGTCACTCTTGCTTGCCTGCACTTTACAAGACTTCTAGGGACTGAGGACGGTTACACCTATGGTAGTGCCAGAATGAATATGATCACAAGCTGCAAGGATTTTATGTAAAAGAGGAGAAAATATATAATACACTATCCCCCATGTTCATATTTTGACATTTAGGAAGTCATTATCATCCATCTCCAGGACTGCAGTGTATTCAGTAGAAGCATTATCATTTTTGTTTCTTTTCAGCCCTCAAACCAGAGAAGGCTTTACATATAGCTTGTGGACGATCACACACTATAGTTTCATGTGGTAGGTAACTGATGCTTTTTATTTTTTATATAATTGTTATGGTGTGATATTTATGGTTAGAATAGAGTGAACTTAATAAGAGTATGTTGATTGTCTGACTACAGATGAATTAGCAGGTATGAGAATGGGAAAGATTGCCCACTATAGGTGACTCTGAATAGGACAAAACTGATGGCACAGATGCTCCGAAATGCTAGGAAACTTCAGAATGATGATAAAGGTAAGATCTGGTCATTAACCCTTTTGCTATCAAAGAAACGTGCTTCTCACCAAAAAGTTGTTCAGTGTTACAGGCTTAAAACCTGCATTGACAGTATAGTTTCAAAACTTTGTAACATGTCCAGACAGCCTTCAGAATAGGAGTCTGAGTTTAGTACTTGCAAGCATTTGGCAAAGCTCGGGTAAAAACATTATCCGATAAGGTAGATGTAAGTCAATGAGAAGCATTGTAATTACTGTAGTTCCTGTTCCTGATTTGGTTACTGTTATTAATGCTACAATGATTAATGGTAAATATAAAAAGAACACTTATGATCTGATATTGAGTTACTTGAGCTTTCTGTTAGAATTACAGTACTTTCTATTAGAAAATTGGAGACTTAAAAAGTTGATTTTGATATCTTTCAAAATCAGAATGATGTCTCATTTTAATATCTTTACCTACTCTTTTCATTAATATCAGTAATTTTCTTACTATAAATAAAAAAAAGGCAGATGTATTATTTTTGTTTAGTCTTGTGTAGACCTCAAAAAAGCATGGGGGCAAAAGATGATGACAAACAAAATAATAAACAAGGGAATTGGTCAAGGATGATAAAAGGTTGTTTAAAATAGAATTTGAAGAAAGCTAAAAAACTAAATGATAAAAAGAATAAAGATATTTTTTTATAAAAGGAGTTAGGACTCAAAATGCTAGTGGAGTGAAATCTTAAAAGCAACTGACTAAATCATTAGAGACAGGTGGAGATGGTCCAAATACGGTGAAATAGGTTTAGGAAAATGTTATGCCCTAATATATATAGTGTAGACTAAAAACATAAGCCAAGTAATGTAATGAAATAACAAGACTGAATATTGTTGCATTGTCAGAAACAAAAGTGGGGAAATGAATACTAAATAAGGTAATATTTCTGAAAGGCTACTCCATTGGGAAACGAAATAGGGGAAAAAAAAAAGAGGGAAAAAGGTGAAGGAGTTTGGGTGTATTATGACGAATGAACATTTATACATAAAGGTATAGACACTTTATGATGTGGATATTTAAGTAATGCAAAGTCAAACCCCATCAAGGAAAATGATCAAAAAGACTAACATGATGTAAACTTAGGAAATTCATAAAAATGATTAGGTAGGTAATGCAAAAAGCAGATCATGGTAAAGCATAAAGCCAGGCTGCTGTTACTGGGTGACTTTAATGTAAACTCTACAGAATTGACTTCAATAATGTATCTCATTTACCATGATAGAAAAGAGTGGAGAAGGTTGACTTTAAAAAGAGAATGTTATGGGAAATTTAATAAATTCTTAGCTAACTTTGACAGAGTTTCTTGCTAAGAGAGAAGAGAGGAGGCATGTATACAAAATTAAAAAAAAATCTGTAATGAAGGCACGAAAAATCTTTATACCGAGACTGAGGATTGGGAACAAAATTGGTTTAACAGAAGTTGCAGTTGTGTGGTATGATACCCATTCTTGTAATAAAAATGTTGGTGGGAATTTATGTTATTGCATTTTATTAATTATTTACTTCAAGGAGTAAGTATTGTACAGTATTTTATTTGTATTTCATAAAGTAATAATTACGTACAGTGCTGTATAACTTTTAACAATACGGTCCCTAAATGGGTAATAAACAAGTTAAGTTCCAGGTGAAGCCTCTTTCAGTGCGGTAGTTCGTTCACTTGATGGAAAAGGAAAGTTGTTTACAAATAAAAACACTTGTAATAGTGGTTATTTAACACTTGTTTTTATTGTTACAGAAATTTTGCATAAAGTTTCTCCGTGAATTCTGTATGAGGTTCGTGTCTTAAAGTTAGTCTAAATAAAGTTTTTTACAACTAATATTTTATTTTAAATCAGTAAACTGCCCTGTTGGTTCTGATCCCTTCTAAAAATCTTGGTTTAGTATAACTTCAGTATATTCAACTGTTTATTTTTGTTATAATGTATGAATTAAATACTCACTCAATTTCTGGTATAGTATTATACCGAGCCAGTTTGCATGATGCTAGAGATGGCATGTTTTGTAGGCTTGAACACTATAACAACAGGCCTGTGGGTGTTCTGTAGGCATAAGTTTTATAGTGTACATACTTATAGAATAATTAAATGCAGGTAATTCTGTGAATTGATCCCAATTTTCCCTGGAAAGACTTGTAGAAAAAAGAAGTTTTGTTTTTTTGCATATTCATCTTTCCCTTCAGCCATTTTGATGGTTCTTTGCACACTCATAATCTCCACATTATACAGTATATTGTATAATATTACTGTATAATATATAGTACTGTATACAGTATACCTGTATTGTCCTCTCCAAGCATTTTATAGTTCCCCCTTGTTTGATTTTCAGTTTTTCTTGTCAATTTTACTTTCCTGTTACAGTGGAACCTCGAGTGACGAGCAGCTCCAGTTACGAGCATTTCGAGTAACGAGCAAGCCACTCGCAGAAAATGTCTTGACTGACGAGCTTTCGCTCGATTAACGAGCATTCCCGCTGGTTCTCGTACACCACTGACGACAGTTTTGTTGTTGTTGTTTCGCGAAACGAGTTTTCCACATGACGAGCTCGGTGCCGGAACGGATTAAACTCGTTAATCGAGGCGCCACTGTATAAACTTTTTTTTTAATTTAGTAGGAAATATTAATGTCAACTGGTTAGGTTGTGATTGCCAGATATGTGTATTAATTTGTGTTTTCTTTAGCAAGCATTTGTAATGGTATTGCAGACCCTCTAGCACTTGAGGGCAGATATGGGTATAAACCATAATGCTTGGAGAATAGTTTGCATGTGTTACCCTTCCTAGAATGCTGCAGGACTCGTCACGAGACAGATGGAAGTAGATATCTTAAGTTTGGTATACTGTGTATAGTTTTGTAGCTGCTGCCATGAAGAATTTCATATCATGTGTTCTTCTGTAGGTTCTTTTTTCTCTCTCAAGTTAAATTAAGTTGTCAGAATTAAACATGTTGAATACTAATGCTTTGTATGCATGTACAGTACATGTATTAGTCTCTGTGTATCTCTCTCAGTGCATGGAGTCTTGGTTGAATTTGTGAATAACTTCATGCTAATATGTGTTGTTATATGTATATACTGTGTGTATATCTCCTTATTAATTATGACTTGTTATAATACTGTACAGTATAATCTGCAGTACTTTTAGATGCACAGTAAAAATCATTACACATTTGAATTTGTATATTGAAATGTTTTTAAACTGCCTTTAATAAAATGTATTTTAAATTTTTCTATTCGATGAACAGCTTCTGGTGCAGTGTATCTGTGGGGCCATAATGGGGACGGGCAGCTAGGAACGGGGAATAAAGAAGACCATTTCTTCCCAGTGAAAGTGCTCAAACTGGACACTCCTGCCAAAGCTGTTGCTGCTGGCAGTATCCATTCACTGGTCCTGGCTGGTTAGTGGGACTCTTATATAAATTTGTTTATATTAATTAGGTACCAACAATATATGTAACAGTACTGGTAGATGAAGATAAGACATTTATAACTGAAATGGCAGCACAGTTTGCAAATGCAAATTTGTACAACAGTACAAAGTTGTACACTTTGTGCAGAGGGGAACATTTGTATAACAGCAGTTGTTTCACAAGTTGTGGAATGCAAGGATTAAATAATAAGAGGCTGTATTCTAGGGTTATGTGATGTCACTAAAGAAATGGCCCTCATGTCATAATACTGTACATTTGCTTTCCATCAAACCTGCTCAGAAGTTCCAGCCTGATGTATGGTAACATCTTCAATCACTAGAGGTTTCTGGCAATGGCATATGATTCTGGGAATATTTTGTTTATATCCCAACACCAACCAACACCCCAACAACACCCAGTATGGCTTCCCAATGTTGTCACCCATGATAAAACCTACATGACACACTTGTGTGCATTTACACCACCAAAATGTACATAGAATTTTTTATGAAGTAACTGATGAAGAGGGAATATTTGTCAGAATTTTTGAATAGGAAAATGGAATATTCTGCCAACACCAACTGATAGAGTACTGGTACTGCAGAAATTACTAACTCGTATAAAAACATCCATGGATGATACTTGCAGCAGAAAGGCTTTAAAAGAATATTTTCTTGAAGAGGTTGGATGAGTTGAGAGGTGAAAGATCAGCCTATACAAGCTCTAGCTTACGTGGACTTATCTGGCACGGGAGCGGGGCTGTGACTTTTATAAAATAAAAGTTGCAGCCCCACTCCTGTGCCAGGTAAGTCCACTACGGGTTCACCATAGCCCGTGCTACTTGGAACTTTTTGTTCCAAGTAGCAAATCCTAAACAACAACAATAACTCTAGCTTACCAGCTTCACAGCAATATCTCTCCTTCCCTTATACATTACTGTAATAGGATGTATTCATTTTGTCTAATCCTGATATTCAAACATACTTGTACAGTAGTTGAAAGTATTAATGAAATTAATTCTATTAGAACTTGAGTTAAGTTGTAAATTGAGATCTTATGAAATTTCAGTACAGTATTAAAAATGCATTTTCTTCTTTACAGTGTCCAAATCTATATTGTTGTATAAACAAAAATCTGTACTTGTATTGCCAGTTTAGTTCGGGTCAATGGCAATGATGTCAGTGTGGTGGTGGTGTGCATGTTACACCCAGTAGCAACCAGGGTTATTACCGGCATATTAAATATTATTGATCATGTGTGCACCAGTATGCAATAGGCATGTAAACTGCCTGGCAAGTGTCAAGGTGAGGGAGAGGGGAGCACGAGCCAGTGGTGCACGCCCTGCTGGCTTATCCTTGTGTAGATCGTTTGAGATTTGTTCAGGGGTGAATCTTGACCTCATTTTAGTTTTCATCTTGCATTCCTGTCACTGGTGGTTATATTTGTTAGTTCCAATTGCTCGACAAATGGAGAAGGAAGTATGATGTATTTATTTTATTTCTTTATATACTGTACAAGAAGGTATATTGGGTTTGTGAGAGTTAGTGATGGCGCATAGTGTAGTGTGCTGGAGGAAGCTTTCTCTATGGAAGTAAAGGCTATTCTTTACTGGGCTAGTTTTGGTGATTCATTTTAATAGCCATGAGTAGAGTTGTGTTGTGACATGATAGTAAAGTGGGTTTGCAGTTGCCAGATGTTACCTTGTATTTGTACCATTATGAGTATTGATTTCCTGTAGGAAAAATTTGTGTGTTGTATGCAGGTTGAATTGAGTTATTGTTATGCACGGACTATTAACTTGCTTAGCTGTGCTCGTAGGGGGTTGAGCTTTGGCTCTTGGGTCTTGCCTCTCAACTTTTAATTGACTTGTTGTGTCCATATCTCTAGACTGAGATGTAGATGCCAATGGTTATAATTCTGGACATGGACTGTGGTATTGTAGTAGAGGGTTGTAGGTAATGGTTATACAGTATTTTACTTGCTGGGATATCTTGTGGCTACATTATGTCCTGGAGTGTGGCTGGTGTGACTCATTTTACAGAGGTGAAGATTGACTTGGATTTCTTGTGCTCAAAGATGGTGAGGGAACCTTGTTGGTGGAAGGGATGGGTGGTGTTGTGGAGTGGTGGGAGGGAAGGGTGGTGGTGTGTTGGTGGGAGGGAAGGGTGGTGGTGTGTTGGTGGGAGGGAAGGGTGGTGGTGTGTTGGTGGGAGGGAAGGATGGTGGTGTGTTGATGGGGGGGGGGGGGAAAGGTGGTGGTGTGTTGGTGGGGGGGAAGGATGGTGGTGTGTTGGTGGAAGGGAAGGGTGGTGGTGTGTTGGTGGGGGGTAGAAGGATGGTGGTGTGTTGGTGGGAGGGAAGGGTGGTGGTGTGTTGGTGGGAGGGAAGGGTGGTGGTGTGTTGATGGGGGGGGGGGAAAGGTGGTGGTGTGTTGGTGGGGGGGAAGGATGGTGGTGTGTTGGTGGAAGGGAAGGGTGGTGGTGTGTTGGTGGGGGGGAGAAGGATGGTGGTGTGTTGGTGGGAGGGAAGGGTGGTGGTGTGTTGGTGGGAGGGAAGGGTAGTGGTGTGTTGGTGGGATGGGCGGGTGGGGTTGTGTTGGTGGGATGGGCGGGTGGTGTTGTGTTGGTGGGGGGGAAGGGTGGTGTTGTGTTGGTGGGGGGGAAGGGTGGTGTTGTGTTGGTGGGGGGGAAGGATGGTGGTGTGTTGGTGGGGGGGAAGGATGGTGGTGTGTTGGTTTGAGGGAAGGATGGTGGTGTGTTGGTGGGGGGGAAAGATGGTGTTGTGTTGGTGGGAGGGAAGGGTGGTGTTGTGGTGGGTGGAACGGATGGTGTCATGTGCTACTAAAAAAAACTTGCCGTTATATACTATCGAGGGGTTGTGTTGTTATTATTATCTCTGGTAATTGTCGGTGAAGGGGAAAAGCCTTTGGGGTGAGCAAGAGGTATGTGGTAGACTGGTCTGGGTAAGGAATGCAGCGTTGCATGTTGACAGTGTTATGGATTGATGTAACCTCAGCACACCTTCTCCCCCTTTTGTTGAGTTCCCCCCTTTGTGGAGTTCCCCCCCCCCCCCCCTGTTATTGTTGAGTTCCCCCTTCTTTTGTTGAGTTCCCCCCTGCTATTGTTGAGTTCCCCCACTGCTATTGTTGAGTTCCCCCACTGCTATTGTTGAGTTCCCCCACTGCTATTGTTGAGTTCCCCCACTGCTATTGTTGAGTTCCCCCACTGCTATTGTTGAGTTCCCCCACTGCTATTGTTGAGTTCTCCCCTCTGCTTTTGTTGAGTTCTCCCCTCTGCTTTTGTTGAGTTCTCCCTCTTTTGTTGAATTCGCCTTTATTGAGTTCTTCTTTGAGTTCACCTTTGACACATTTTTTATCTTAATTGCCATTTTTTTATATACACCATATGTGCATGCGATTTTATAAGTATATCCTTGTCATTAGTTTACCGTCAAAACTGGCTTAAATAATTTGCCTCTGACATGCGACTCGGCCTTATTATAGTACTCGGTATAGGAATTCTAGTTTTCCAAGTACTGTATTGCTATTAACTTTTAACCTACGTGCAGTTGCCATATTTGCTGCATTGTATATTTGGGGTTTTATTTCTCTTAGTATTGTTGATGAGGCCTTTTTATTTTATACAGTAACTATGTCAAAAGACTTTGAAGGAACCATTTTAACAATACTAGTTCCAGGTCTTCCAATATTTAGCATATATTTTTTTCCACAGAGTGATGACGCTTATCTTGTTTGGAAGTTGCATGATGTGTAAATGTCAATATCTAAATTCCTTTCAAGAATTATGTGGTGTGACTATAATAGGTATGTGGCACATGCATGGAAAGGGTTAACTGTGGGATGCATGTGATAAAGAATGTGGTGTGTGTGTGTGTGTGTGTTGTAGTGGTGTATTATAAATGAGTGTGATCATGACTATTATTAAATAGCATGACTTGTGCACATGTCTCTTGAGAAGTCTGCCTTTGTGTGATTTAAACTTATGAATATTGTCACCCAGAATTAGTTATATTTCTCGTGTAATTATATTCAGATGAGCGTGAAGCAACGTGTTAAATAATATGCTATGTTATAGGCACAGATAATTACAATATAAATAAGGTGGGGCATGAAAATGAGCTGTTCAGAAACAGTAGGTGGCAACTGCATTGACATTAGGAAGTAGGTGGTAATGGTAGGGAGGGAGGGAAGGGTTGCTGGAATCAACCAGTTCCATATTGACTAGTGGAGGAATATCATCTCTTGGCCGCTCGCGCTAAAGCTTACACCTTGGTGACAGGTTACTGGGCGTTTTTATGCCTTGGCCTCTATTTGGCCCCTCTTTATTTTCATCATGTGTGAGTGGTATTATTTTAGCTAGAAAGGTACTGTTCTTTGATTTGGAGAATTATTTAGTTCACATTATTATTTATTTACATATTTTTTATTGTAGCTGTGTTACTGTGACTATAATTAACTGTTGCTATGCTGCTACATTTGTACTCCCCTAATTGTTCTTGTGGGGGGTTGAGGCTTGGATCTTTGGCCTTGCCTCTCAACTGTTAATCAACTGGTGTACAGGTTCCTGAACTTATTGAACTTTATCATATCTACATTTGAAACTGTGTATGGAGTCCACATCCACCACATCACTTCCTAGTGCTTTCCATTTGTTAACTATGACACTGAAAAAAGTTCTTTCTAACGTCTGTGGCTCATTTGGGTGCTCAGTTTCCACCTGTGTCCCCTTATGCAGTGCCACCCATCCAAAATAATGTCTCTATCTACCCTGTCAATTCCCTTGAAATTTTGTATGTTGTAATCATGTCACCCCGAACTCTTCTGTTTTCCAGCGATGTGAGGTGCAATTCACGCAGCCTTTCCTTGCAACTCACACCTTTTAGTTCTGGAACTAGTCTAGTTGCATACCTTTGAACCCTCTCCAGCTTCATCTTATGCTTGACAAGATATGGACTCCATGCTGGAGCTGCATACTCCAGGACTGGTCTAAGAGTATGCAGACACACACACATGTATGCATTCATGCATACTCACTGTCTTCTGTTGCTTAGGTATACCCTTATTTATCCATTGGAGTACCTTTCCTTCTATTTCTGCCTGCATCTCTAGCTTATGCATTAGTCTCCTATGGGGTACTGTATCAAAGGCAATCCAAAAAGATTGCTTTCTGGCAATTCAAAAATATGCAGTCTGCCTACTCTTCTCTTTCTTGCCTAATTTTTGTCACATGGTCATAGAATTCAATTAATCCTGTGAGGCAAGATTTGCAAGATATTCTCAAACCTATTGGGCTCAGTCATATCTATATTTGAAGCCATATATGAAGTCTGCCTCAACCACTTTACTTAGCATATTCCATTTGTTCATCAATGACACAAAACAAATTCTCAAATGTACCCCTTTTTCATATAGTGTGTGCCTTGTTTTCCCTGAGAATTTTGCATGTAGTGATTGTCTTCCCTCCAATTTTCTCTCCCAGTGACTGAAGTTTAGTTCCCTTATTATTTTCTCATTGCTCATACTTCTCAAATCTTGAGCATGTCTAGTCACATACCTCTGGACTTTCTCCGGCTTCACTTTGTGTTTTAATAAGCTATGGAATCTTATGCCACATGTTTTATAATTGGTTTGACATACAGTACAGTATTTGGTATACAAGGCCTTGAGTGATTCTTTATTTTAATTTATAAAAGCAGTTCTTGCATTGACCAGCAAGTTTCTTACAGTCCTACACCATATTTACTCTTCTCATAACCCCCTGTGGGACCCAGCTAGTAACATCCTGCCTCTTTGCTGTGACTCTTCTGTTGCATAGGTACTTCCCTATCCACTGGAGCCCCCTTCCCTGTTATTTCTGCTTGTTTCTCCAATGTGTGCTTTATCCTCGTATACTGTGTTGATGTGCTTGTCATTCAGACCCTCTAAGGATATGGTCTGCCCACCCTTCTCTCTCTCTCTAGTATGATCTGTCACCTCTCTGCCACACTAGACACTTTCCCTCTTATTCATGGATTTTGATGCAATAATATGATTCATTGTCTGGTGCATGAACTATAAGCTCTGCTTATACAAGAAATTCCCCATCATTATTATTATTATAATTTTAAATGGTGTCAATTATTATTATTATTAGGTATCTGACATGCAGTGTTTGTGGTCATCATCATCTGGGGGTTCCACACTGTTTTAATATAAATTCATATTTTAGCTTTAAAAACAATAGAGTATTTAAAACAAGAAATGCTATTCCAAAAGAAGCAGAGTTTGTGATTTTAATTAAAATGCAGTGACCTAGATGTAGTATACTGTAATCTGTGATTAGCTGTATGTTGAATCATATAATTGTGCTGGCCACACCACAAATAATGTGTCATTTACTGAGTCTGATGACAGTGCAGACATTCTTAGATATTTTAGGCATTTTTTATGAATGTAATTAGTCTTAATAACATAAAGAGTCAAGAATGAATTGCTTACTATTACTTCAGTAACAGCTGCAGCAAATTGCAAAATACCCTACGTTTCTTGTACCTTACCTTGAGGTTACCTTGAGGTGCTTCCGGGGCTTAGCGTCCCCGCGGCCCGGTCATCGACCAGGCCTCCTGGTTGCTGGACTGATCAACCAGGCTGTTGGACGCGGCTGCTCGCAGCCTGACGTATGAGTCACAGCCTGCTTGATCAGGTATCCTTTGGAGGTGCTTATCCAGTTCTCTCTTGAACACTGTGAGGGGATTGCCAGTTATGCCCCTTATGTGTAGTGGAAGTGTGTTGAACAGTCTCGGGCCTCTGATGTTGATCTTTGTATTTCAAAGTTAAATATTGCCAGCATAATGTATAAAGGATGTGACTGAATTTAACACGGATTTTTTATAAATTATTTATTTCTGTCAAGTACTATACACGCATTCTTCGAATAAAATACTGTATTACTGACGTCAGTTTAGGATGTTCCTTAAATTATTCTTTATTTCAGAGATTGGAGAGTTGTACATCTGGGGCAGCAACAGTGAAGGCCAGCTTGGACTTGAAGTAAAGGAACAGCTCACTCCGGCACTCCTCACTTTGCCACAGCCTGTGTTGAGCATTGCTTGTGGATACTACCATTGTGTAGCTCTCACTGGTATGATCTTTGTTCACTTATGATTCATGATCCAATTTGGTGATAAGAGTTGACGGTCAAATAGACAGCCCCTGCCCGGCACAAGTTCACAAAACAGAAATTTTGGCCTGTGTAATAATGATTTTTAACACTCAATTTTCAAGTGCATGGCTGTGGGCTCATCCTTATATGAGTTCACTTGTTGTGCTCGATATTTAAATTTCACAGTCTAACCTCGTGACTCTTCGCATTTGATTTGTTTTAAAAAAAAATATTTTTTAGATTTTAGTACATGCTGTGTTGTGGCACCTCACAGCAATTCTGAACTTAATTTTTTATTGCATTTATGGCTGGAAAATTGTGGGAGTGGTTAGTAATAATGTTTAGATAAGTTTAATGTGAGAAAAGTGGACAAAGTGAAATTTTCAAGGCCTCTAAAATACATCCCCTATTCTTCCCATGTAAACTACTGTGTACATTTTATAGCACTATTTCTTTATTATAATTTTAATCTCTAACTATCAGGCCAAACTACAGGTAATCTTGAATATACATTACTAATCATGTTGCCTTCCTTATAAGCACGTGTTAACTTAGTTTTTAAACCATTGCTCGTGAAACCATTGCATGGTTTACAGTGTGCTAGTGAAATATATATATATACTGTAGTTAATTTTGTTTGCTTTTTATCTATCATTGTTGATGGTGGTTATTTTTTAACTAGAGATGTACATTTCTACTCATGATTGCGTGTGACAGCTTTTGGACGAGTGTACACATGGGGTGAGAGTGACCATGGCAAGCTGGGGCTACCATCAAGTCAGCTGTCCTCACACCACCTTCCTCAAGTAGTTCCGCTCCCAGAGAAGATCATTCAGGTTGCTGCTGGAAGTGCACATACACTTTTCCTGTCTGGTGAGATTGGCCGAGGTTGGCTTTTTGCTGCCGCTTTTAGTTAAGTGTTTGTTTTGTTATGTTTACACAATGCAAGGTTACTGCTGATATGTGCACCCAAGTGCTTTATTTATTTTTTTTTTTAATAAGTCTCATTCAAAAACTAATCGAAAACTAAGTTACAATATTTCATTTACATAAATTTAATAATAAATTAAAACAAATTTGTACAGAATTTTTAATCCCAAAATTAATAATATTTTATTGAATAGTCAAAAACCATTTATCCATTTGCCATAACACAGCTAAAATGTTTGAATTTGAAGGTATCCATTGAAACAACTAAATATTACAAGACTAGTTAGGCATTGGTAAAGTCATGTTTGTGAATCATTTGTTAATGTATGCTTTTGAAGATGTAGATGAATGGCTCTTGCAATTATCAGTTCAAACACACACTTAAACAATAAACGTTAAGCCACTTGGCCGATAGTTCAGTGCAAGTGATTTATCTCCTCTTAAATATCAGTACCACATTAGCAATGTCTTATTAAAGTGCAAGAAAAGGACTTATTAAGCTCTTTAAGATAATACAAGAGCTGTGCTCTATTTACAATTTGTGTATTATACTAAACTTGTACTAGTGCATGCATTGTTTGAGAGCCCAGTCTAAAACAACATTAGGGTGAGATTCAGAAACCCTTAGTAGATGGTATTAAAGTTGAGAGCCCAGCAGGGCAATCTAGGCCACCTCCATTGCACTGTTTTCTATTGTTCACTGTCTTCCTACAATCACACACATTCATAGCTGTACAGTACTCCACAATTTTGGTATTTTAAAAGTTTAATAAGACATGCAACCCAGGTGGGTTGTACCTACATTTTCATCGGGCCTTGTAAAGATGTAGAGAACACTAGGCCAACTACATTTTCCCACATTTGTTATGCCACCTGGTCTAGGATCTATGCCAGTTTCTACTAAGGGTGCAAAACTAAAGCCAATAGTGCCAGAACAGTTTGGGGTTGGAATTGACTCAGTTAATGCCTGATAACTCCCTCACCCCATAATAAATGTATAATGCTGACATGGAAAATAAATGTCCAGAAAGAAATTTAAATGAAGAATAACCTTCGAGAATGGATTAAATGCGATATTGACACTGTTGAATCCACAATTGGATTCAATTGAAGATAATGATGATTATAGTATAGATGTTATTGTAGATCATGTATTGAAATCTACAGATGACATGCAGCAAATCATTTTCTAGAAAGTAAATAATTTATAAACAAGCAGGAGATTATATCTTAACTGCCTTCAGGATCGGATCATTTTAGAAAGCGTCACTGCTTAAAGCAAACATCAGATGGTACGATCACTCCAACATCAAACTCTTCTCTTATCCTAGAACAGCGTTGCTCAACTGGGGTTTCCCGGAAACCTAGGGTTCAGTGAGAGAGTCACTCGGTGTTTATTTTTTGGTTTGCTTAGGGTGAGAAACGCTGCTTTAGAGGATACATAATAAACTTGCTACTCACTCTCCTACATTTTGCCATTTCACAAAAGCTTGTGTTTTTTTGTGTTTTTTTCATGAGTACTAGTACGTAGATTAATTTTGTATTGATATTTTTGGTGTTCTTAATAAGTGCATGCATTATTGTAGTTTGTTATATATAATACAATGCATTGAGTGTACACGTATATGTTGAGAGGCATATTCAGCTGCAAAGATATGGTTTTGTTTTAACATAGACCTCACAGTAACACAAACCTCTAACTCCAAGTACTGTATAGTAGATGAATGGTATTTGACTGTAAAGTAAAGGATTAGTTATTGAATAGTGATCTTACAAATGAGATGAAATTTAATTGTGAATTACGGTTTGTTTTGAAGAGAAGTGTTCATCTCAGCTTTGCTTTCATTTATTTTGATTCTGATTTTTTAGGTTATGGTATTAATTATCCATTTCTTGCTTTATCATGAAATTTACATTTTAGACAAATCCTCCGATTGGGATTGATGTGGTACTGAATAATATTTAATCTCTTAACCGACTTTTGTTTTGCTTTCTCCACTTGCACAGTTTGTTGAGCACCGACAACAATGCCATCTGTTACGGAGGTATGTTGAGTATGTTTGCACGGAATTTAATTACTGTACAGTAATATGTAGATTATATCGTTAATAATTGGCTCTTCATAACACGCAAGAATGCTAGAAAAGCCAAATAAATTTTTTATTGCTCTGTTTTAGGTGGTACTGTACATTTCAAATGTTTCTCTCTGTGTGGGAAATGTTGAGTTTGTGATACAAATTCATATTAACCTACTTTGTTATGTTAACAATAAAAGGGTGGGGGGGGATTTTTATAGTTACTGGAACGTGTCATTTGAGTGTCCCCACAACATTCTTGAAATGGCAATTGGCCATACACATAGTCTTTCTTGAAGTTTGCCTATGGCTACTGCTCGAACACATTTCAGTAAATTAACGATAAATCTTTGCATTTACATTTCAGTGTTATGTTGTATGTAAATATAAAGGATATTGTGTACCTTTAATTGGGGTTTACATTGTATTTTTATCTTTGATGTAAGGCTATATTGCAGTGCAATCTGTTTTACTTTATTCTGCATTACACTTATTATACATATCAGGAGGTAAATAGCAGGGAAAATGTAATATACTTCAGTATAATTGGCAAATTAGTTGAAAGGGAAATGCTGACTTGAAAATATGTTTGTAGTATGAAACCATTGGAAGAAGTTCTTCAAAAAGTTAAGGAGATAATTGCAGGTCCAGGACAACAAAATGCTGAAGATTCTGAAAATAGTGTTTATATATTATTTGTCTAAATATGTAGGAATGTGTGTCATTTGCTATAAGAAAAATTCAAAGCATTTTGGGATAATTGGCATAAAGTGGCCATTATTTGGTAATCTGCATTAGAACCATATGATATGATACAGATATTGGAGGTGCTACTGTATGCAGGATTGTTAGTTCAGTGTTTCAGCTCATTAAAATAGCACCCCAAGCAGCACCCAGATACTAGGGGAAGGACACTACTAAGTGAGATACTGAGTAGTATAGGATTTCAGTAGAAGAGGTAAAGAGCAGTTGGAGGAACTAGATGAAATAAAGTCATTAGGACTTGATTGAATCCCTCCATGTGTATTAAATAGAACTGAAAACACATTTTGCAAGCCACTTGCAAGAATCTTAATTTATTATCTGAGAAGGAAATCCTGCTTGGTTGCTGGAAAGCAACAAATGTAGTTCTTACAGGAAAGTGGACACCCAAGGAGGGCTAAACTTCAAACCAGTGTCACTGACATACATACCTTGCAAGATTCTAGAGAGATCAATAAGGAGGAAACTAGGGGAACACATAGAAGGGATTAACTGTGTAACCAAAAGTTTAATGTAATAAAGTTTGGGAATGGAGAATGAAGGACATTACAGTACAGCAAAAAGACAGCTGTGAGAATTTGGTGTGTGTATATAACACTACTACTAACATGAGTGTCTCGCATAAATAGGATTGTATTGGCAGTGTAAGTGAACCTGGCAAATATTCAGACAACTTATAAGATTTGTATGATGTCCACATCAGACTAGCTCTGTAACATACATGACCAGACTAGAATCTTCACATTGTGAAGCAGAAAGAGAAAATTCTGTGGTTTACAACAAGATTGTTGCCTGTAAAAAGTGAACTAAGTCATGAAGGTAAGATAATTAAGGTAGCTAAATTAGCAGCCAAAACAAGATGTAAAAATCAGAGGCGGGATCATGACATCCAAATAATAATGGGAATAGATGAGGTGAATAATAGCATTGTTTCAGTATGAGGGGAAAAGAGGACAAGGGAACACAGGAGTTGAAATAAATTTTGTTCTTTTTCTTAGAAATGATAGCAATGTAGCACATGTATTACAATAAAAAGGCATAACATTCTATTACATATGACTTTCAAGATGCTAAATATACTAGTTTACCACTGAAGAAAGTAATATAATCGAAGTAAATATCCATCTATGTACAGCACGTGTTAATTTTGGTTAATGGCACTTTCGTTACAGAGGGTGGAACAGTATATTCATGTGGCTTGGGTAGCAATGGAGAGCTTGGTCAAGGAGAAGGAGAATTAGAGTGTTTTCTGCCACAACAGGTCATTGAGACTAACCCCTCGGCTATTGTGATCATAGCTGCTGGTGACAATCATTCTTCTGCTATTACAGGTATGTCATTCTATTTGTATTTGTGTAATTATCTGCATATATAATTATGTCAGTGTCTGCTACAGGTTTGTATGTGTATCTGACTATCTACTTGCCATACATTACATTGCAATATTCTCAGGTGTGTGTCACTGTAATTAGGTCTCCTTATTACTTTTAGCATATTTATTTTTCTTGCTTTTGTTCCAAATTTTATGGTGACTGCAATATCTGGAGAACACCTTTGCACATTGGTTTGTCACTTTCATGACATGTGTTTAATGGTGCAAAGAAAGGTCCCTATTGTTATTAAGCTGCCTAGGATTCTGATGGCATGTTTGAACATCATCGTAACACATCACTGGGAAGCAGTAGAGCTTGAGCAATATCCCAAATTTATACACACACATACCCGAATGCAAAAGGATATTCCCAGTTGCAATTAGTACTCTAGAACATTTTTCAATAGTGTGAATCATGCAGCCAGGTACTGGTATATTGCAAATATACCTGCAGGATCATATATCATTTAGAAAAGATCAAGGCAAATGGTGGGGAGGGGGGGGGGGAATGTTCAACAAGCTGTCGGTTTCCAGTCCTCATCGAGGACACTAGTGTTAGTGGCCCTCGGGTAAATATATGCACTAGGGAGCACTTGAGGAAAGTATCTAGCTAAAGTGAGCTGTAAATATATTCAAATATAAACTATATCTAAAAAATTGAAAATAAAAGCAGTTAGTAATGGTAATGTCTTCTCACAAACATAATAACATAGGAGTGCTTTGTCAAGGTCTGAGTGTGTGTAACATACACTCAGATCTTGACAAAGCACTTAGGAAAGTGCAAAAGACTTGTGTAAATTCCCTACATAAATTTCACAAATATACAAGTGTGAATTTTTATTCAAAATAAAAACAGTTTTAAAGGGCTTTACAAAATTCCATAGAGATGCACTTAAAAGGTGTACTTACAAATTTCCATGTGAAACACTCATTTGTTCTTATTCCATACAGTATCACCTTATAAGGTAGTAGTCTTTCGTCTTAACAAGAGTATAATATTGCACAAGTATTATTTTAAATTATATAACATTATAACAATAATGATTGCATTTCTGTAGTTTTGCTCTACAAGTTGCCCTTTGCAATTTGCCTAAAGTTAAGTTACTTTTTCATGAGGTTTGAAATTATGTTTGTAAACAAAAACAAAAGTTGTTCTTGGTGTGACAGGTTGCTGTTTCTAACCATGAAAGATACGTTTGTTACAGAGGATGGGTATTTGTTGACTTGGGGTTGTGGCCGACATGGAAAACTGTGTCATGGAGAGGAAAATTTCTCCTCCCAGTTTCTTCCATTAAGGGTCCGCAGATTACGTCACATCAGAGTCATTCTGGTGAGCATCTTAGTCGTGCGTGAATTCATGGATAAGGCATAAGTTACCAACATTGTTTCATGATTTTTGTGTAAAATAATATCCTGGGATTGGTACAATTTGCATTTATTTTTTTATCATATACTCTACTTAGACATAACTTAAAGCTCTGGGCCTGTGCTTCCCTATCCCATGAAAGTGAGATACTGTATTGGCTAATTAAAATTATTACTGTATTGTGACAAAAAAAGTTACCTTTTACATTCTGAACTGGTATCTTGAACTCGTCTGATATTTTGTTATAAATAAATCGGTAGCTCCAGAAATCAAGGGCATATTCATTTTTCATATTTGATAACTTTATAGCAGTTTATGCATTATATATGACTAATGTGTGAGGGGACTTACTACTCATTGCTTATGTCTTGATAATTTCTATGCATATTTAGGTGGGCTGTGGAGGCTGCCACACTATGGTCCTGGGCTACAGACGCACTGAAGAGGTGGAGTCCACAAGGGACAACAGCCACCTGCTTCACCATTCAGTGAACAGCTTGGCTCGGGCACGACGAAGGGTCGCAGACGTAAGTTTATTTGCATTTGTATTAAAGTAAGCATGATTACCTCTGCCGTTAAGCCAGTTGTGTAACTGTTAATAGAGAGTAGAGTTTGTGATTGAATAAGGGCAAGTGTAAAATATTATTGTTTGCAGAGTGGCTGTAAAGTCTATAAAGTAGCATGAGATATGTATCGGTAATCTTATGAGGATTTTTATCATTGGATAAGCAGTACTCTAGTTCCAGTATATACAAAAAATTAAATCATTAATTTTTTGCAAGGAATATTTTTTATATATAAAATCAAGTGCTAAGTTGCTAATTTTAGACCGAGGGGCATGTAATTGTGATCTGTGTTCTAATTTGTCAACAGATCTAGCCTGATATTAAGCCAGTGGTATTGTGTTGTACATTTTGTGGGAGAAGTTCATGTGTGAATATTGAGTCGATTAGTCTTGTTGTAGCTCAACACATTTGCTGTACTGTTCCTGCATTGATGCAACATTTGAGCTGTTAAACATTATTATGTAGCTATATTGTAATTGAGGTGGTTAATTCTAGTGTAATCAAATGACGACAAATAATAAAATATTAATTTAAATAGATTTAATTTGCTAAATTACAATGCAAAACTTAAAGAAAAACCCGCTCATAATTCTTCTTGCTGTGATGTTTTTATTTCTTGATGTTAAATATTTGTTATAACAATTTAGGGAGGGGATCTGTAGTTATTTATGCAAATCCATCATCTCAAAAGTACCGGTTCCAGGGTGGTTTGAACACTTTATCTGGTACTGTATATTGTAATTTTGGTGTACTATGTATGCATTAAGTTTCTATATTCCTGAATTCTGCTCAGGATTACAGAACACTTGAAGGTTAGAAGCTAAGAAAGAATGCAGCTTCAATGATCTTGGTAGTTGATAGGTTTATATATAAAATCTAACATAAATTTAATACAGTAACCTTTGTTTAATTTTTCAGGGTATTCTACCACCTTTGAAGTCTGTTGGGCTGCCACCTATCAAACATTCAGTTCTTCCCACAGTTCCCGATATAGAAGATGATGAGCCAGCCAGTGACCAGCCGCAAGTTGATGCCGAGCCAGTCTCAATTGTAAATGTTTCTTCGGGTTATACTGAGTTGATAGTTTAGAGTATTTGTAGACAACTTACCTTATAAAACTATGCAAAAAGTTATCTTTAAAAGAACAAATTTGGGGGGTTACATTGGCTGTTTCCTGATTTCTGGTGGTTGCTCAGTTCAGTCTGCTATCCATCAGATATCTTTGCTGAGTGGGTGGGATTTTTTCATTATTTTATGACTATGGGCTTCCTTCACCTTTCTGTTTTTTGGGCATCCTGAAAGAGATTTGGGATAACTGAGCTGTCATCAACAGGCACTGCTCGAATATACTCGAGGTAGACTGGCCTAGGACTGTTGACCTTATATTCTGTTCCCTTTATGTTATACACATGACAAAGAGGATAACAAAGGTTCCCAAGAAGGGAAACAAAAGTAATGACCATATTCTAAAAGAGGAAGCACCACCTGTGTTGCCTGAGGACAATGATGACGGAGTCGGCCAAGGATCCCACGAGGCGGGAGGTAGAAGCAACAACTGAGACCAGGCTTAACCACCTGCATTGTTGAGGAAACCAAAACCCCCAAGAGGCTAAACCTCATAATAGATTCACTCAATGCTGAGTAGAATGGCCTAAGACTACAAAGGATGAAACTCGGTTATATGCAGTATATATGCAAGCTATTGCAGTATACCCTAATCAATGCATGTGGTATTATTCTTTGACGATTGTAGAGGACCGAGTTGATATACCCTGACCATGGAACGAGTTGATATGCCCTGACCATTGAATGAGTTGATATACCCTGACCATGGAACAAGTTGATATGCCCTGACCATTGAATGAGTTGATATGCCCTGACCATTGAATGAGTTGATATGCCCTGACCATTGAATGAGTTGATATGCCCTGACCATTGAATGAGTTGATATGCCCTGACCATTGAATGAGTTGATATGCCCTGACCATGGAACGAGTTGGTATACCCTGACCATTGAATGAGTTGATGTACCCCTGACCATTGAACGAGTTGATATGCCCTGACCATTGAATGAGTTGATATACCCTGACCATGGAACGAGTTGATATACCCTGACCATGGAACGAGTTGATATACCCTGACCATTGAATGAGTTGATGTACCCCCTGACCATTGAATGAGTTGATATACCCCTGACCATCAAAGGGGTAAACACACCCTGGCCATCGAAGGGGTAGGCGCACCCCTGGCCATCGAAAGTGTCGGCACACCCTCGCCATCGAAGGGGGTCAACGCACCCTTTGAACTAATTAATGCTAGTGAAGTACAGTACAGGGAAGAGGCAATGGGTGAGCCCCTTTCATATTTTATTGTGCACATAATTTTTAAGGATACATTTTTTATAATGCAGTACAGTGTTTAAAAATGTTAAAAAATTCATCTCCCTGAAAAAAACAAAAAGGTTGGTGAGGTTCCTGAGAAAGCAGTTGAGGTGGAGCAGAATGAAGCGACGCCAGAGGAGAATGGTGTGCTTGATGTTGAGAGTGAAGAGGAGGAGGAGCAGCAGCAGCAGCAGCAGGAAGAGGAGGAAAATACTGAAGATTGTAAAGAGCAGTTACCTCCATCTGAGAAAAAAGGTGCCACCTTACTCAGTTGAGAAACTTAATACAAGGCCATAGTGCTTGAAGGTTAAGGAAAGACCCCAGTACTGTGTATGTGTATTAAAACCAAATTTTTTAATACAACCTACATCCTACAGATGTAGGTTGTACAGTTGTAGTGTACAGATGTAGGTTGTACATCCTACAGTCTTTCCTTCACCTTCACATTATTCAATTTTATGCTGTGCCCCTATTTTTTTCTTGTTACTTGCCCTTTTCATTATTGCCATTGACCCCCCTTGGTCTGCATGAGGGTTATGTTACAGCATTTATAACCTGAACATGGGCACCCTCCAAAATTGATCAGCAGCTTCTGGCATTCCATTAATGGGTTACTGTTGCACAACAGTAACACAAATACAAAATATTGTTTTGTTAGTTACATTTCAAATTTTATGCACCTTATTAATTGGCTGCTTAAAATAAGGTCATTTGATGGCTCCTATATATTATAATGCATCACTTAATATGGGTAAATTATAAAGACTTACTAATTTAGTCCACTTAGCAATTTGTTACTATACTCAGTATAATATTTATTACGTTTACTACTACTGCTGTCATTACTGCTACATTGTTTTACTAATATATATCACAGCTTAAAGTGTAAGTTAAATGTACTATAATTTACATATAATTTTTAGTTTGATTTATGTAAGTGTACAGTTCTTCATTACAGCCAGATTTTTACTGATTTGTACCACTTGTTACAAATGAAGCTTCTAATTAAAGATTTAAAGACTTAGAAAAATTAGTGTTAGCCTTTTTGTAGACTTTCTTTTTACTGGTGTATTTTTTATGTTCCAGGTGGCCGATTTGCCCGGTTCTTTGGCAATCTTGGAAAGAAGAAATCAACATCTGCACTCAGAAGTCATCAAGTAGCGACTGAGGAGTCTGGTGAAGGTATGAAGGGTACCACTGCAAGTGCAACAAAAAGTAAACACCCACTTGAAGAGGATGCCCATTTAGGTACTTTTTTATTAGTTACATTTATTAGTCTTAAATAAAAGGCTTGTAGAACTGGGGCCAGATTCACGAAAGCACTTATGCAATCACTTACGAACCTGTACATCTTTTCTCAATCTTTGGCGGCTTTGTTTTGAATTATTAAACAGTTAATGAGCTCCGAAGCACCAGGAGGATGTTTATAACAATAACAACAGTTGATTGGGAACTTTTCATGCTTGTAAACTGTTTAATAAATGTAACCAAAGCCGTGAAAGATTGAGGAAAGATGTACACGTTCGTAAGTGCTTGCGTAAGTGCTTTCGTGAATCTGGCCCCTGATTTTTTTCTCCTCCCTCAGGCTATATCTAATATAGAACTCCTGATCTAGAACAGATTCAATAAGGCTTATATGTAAGTGCTGCAATGTGTCACTTGTGTATATATACCAACGTTGGGACTTGTACCCACGTGATGAGGCTTGAAATAAACAATGAGATTCTCCAGTCAATAGGTGTCATTAAGTGGTGACTTAACGGGTGGTGGTAGAGAAATATTTGCCACATATTTTGAATTGATGTGCAACTGACGTTTTCTTGTATTATTTAAAAATGGATTTTTTTGGATATAAATTTGGTTATATACCAAGTACTGTACATTGTCTTGTAATGCAACCCACTTTTCACATGTGGTGCCTTAAGCAAATCTACTTTATTTGGTCATATTGGACTACAGTCTTATCTTATAGTTAATTTTTGTCACTTTCAAATAAATCTACTTTAATTGTTCATATTGGACTACAGTCTTATCTTATAGTTAATTTTTGTCACTTTCAAAGCCTGGCTTAGTAGTATCATATATATGCACAAAATTGTTTTGCCACAAGTTACTCTTTGATGTCTGTGACTCCTGTCAACAACATAATTTTTTAGGGGATGGGAGGGAAGGACTCAAGACTCAAGTTGTCATGCATTTTAAGTTACAGTATTTGAATGCCTTGATACCATAGAATGAATATTTCTATAGTATCAAAATTTCCAATGTTGTCAGAAATTGACAATGATCTAAATAGTTGCCCAGAAGTGTGAACCTTCCCGGTCTTTATAAATTTATCAGTAGTTTTGTGAAGGTGTTAAATTAGTTCATCTTAATTTAAAGTTATTGATGTGTCCAGCATTAGTATAGAGGCTGCATGAACTTGCATCAGGTGCATTTAGGCAGTTTTCTATCCCTTTTTGTTCATGACCTCTCATAACATTCCACATTTTCACCTTTTCATAATTTAACTCATACAAAACATAGCCTGAAGTATTGTCACTTGCACCAGATATTTTATCAATTAACTGTTAGCTTGAGCTTTTTCCTTCTTGTCTTCTTAGTTTTCTGTCGTAGGCAACTTACTGGCAACTTGTTCCCTCTGTTTCACATAGCAAGACAGAATGTCTTCTTGGAGGAGTGCGAGTGGTTCACATATGAGATGGCCAAGCCCACTTTACAGGATAACGTCATTTTTATGTTGAGTAACTTGAAAGTGTGTAGATAACACAAATAAGTGAGAACATTTTTAATTTGCTTCCCCACATTGTTATTCATCATATAGGTATTAGTAATGGGTTTGTTTTTAATTATTACTGTACATAATGTAAAGTTGTAGTCATGTGTGTTTAGAATTTGAACAAAAAAAATAGATCGAATAAAGCTTTGATTTCAGAATCTTTTGGAGACCCAAATACTGAGGAGTCTGAGGGAGCAGTGAGACAAGTAATGGAAGCTTTTACATCTTCATCTGTTAGAGCTACAAGTTCCTACTCAATTGGTGTCCCTGGTCACAAACAGGTAAGTGAGGTTTGTGTTTTGTTTTTCATTGTATCGGATTCAGGTACAGGAGTTGCATTTTTGTGTCTCGCACATGAACTTGAGTGTGAACTGTCTGTGGGTGTCTACCACCCTGTCTGCACAGGGTGGTAGGAAACAAGTGTTGATTGTAGAAAATTGTGATGAAGGAGAAGAAGTTTTGTTTGTTTATGATAGTTCACTAGCAGCACTCTGCATCTCTAGTATTATGGTGCTGTTGGAGTGTGGTGATGCTGTACACTAATTACCCACATGTGTAAGATAAGGTGAATGGATCGGTGTAATATTAAAATATCTTAAGCCTTTCATATACTGTTTACTGTGGAAAATAGGGTAAATAATAATGATTTATTTTCCTTTGAGTCTCTTAGTAAAATACTTGACACTATTGAGCCAAGATATGAAGAAAAACATTGTCATGCTTAGTTTGTTTCTCATAACATTTCTTTCTGCAGAAGTATTATGTTTATTAATGTTACATTTAAAAACTACATTTGCAGTTGAAAACTAATATTAATTAATTAAATTTTATCTTTCTAATATTGTGCCCAATAATTTTCTTTTAAATGTCTAACCATTTCTGTTGTATTGCAGTCTAAGGCATGCACCATCTTGTAGAAGTTGTGAAGAAGTAGATGTACAGTTTGAAGACATTAACTACAGTTAAAGAACTTCCTGGTCACTACATGTCAAGTCTATTATATTTTCTGTATTTGATCTAATACAGTAGTAATTCATGGAAATTGTAATAGCTTGATCATTACAAGCAATTTATATTTTAATATGGCAAACAACTACTTGAGTAGTTACAGTTTTACCTTATGTTTTATTAACATATGGAAATCAAGGTTTGTTGTGTTATAATTATTTGTTTACATAAATTCCTTATGTACAAATCAAAGTATATAAGGAAGTTATACCCAAATCACAAATGAGGGGGTCACGTGTATTAATCTTTCTCGCCTATATTATATCCCTATTGGTTGCCATGCTGGTATGGAGAATGGTCTTCCACTTTTGCATTCTTTTTGGGCAACTGTCACTTGTTGCATTCAAGTTCTTAAGCATCACGGACCCTTTTTGTGACCATACCGTAATATAGGTCAACCCGTTCTCGCACTTTCGTATAGTCAATATTGACTTATTAAATACGTGCATATGTGACATGCTAATTTATTGTGAATATTTTAGTTTACCTTGAAAAGCTTCATAGAAAACACCGACCTTACCTAACCTTCTTAGTATGTTAAGATAAGCATCTTATTGCTTCGTAATTACAATTATTACTTAACCTATTATAGATATAGATTAAGTAATAATTGTAATTACGAAGCAATAAGATGCTTATCTTAACATACTAAGAAGGTTAGGTAAGGTCGGTGTTTTCTATGAAGCTTTTCAAGGTAAACTAAAATATTCACAATAAATTAGTATGTCACATATGCACTTATTAAATAAGTCAATATTGACTGTAAGAAAGTGCGAGAACGGGTTGTATAGGTAAGTAACCTTAGCCCGTGCATGAATTCTAGTCCTCCATCTAACTTTAGAGCAAGACATGAACTACGCTTCAAACTAAGTAGTAAACTTTCACTCATTATCAATATATATAGATAGTACTGTGGATAGTTGATTCATAGTGAGAATTAAACTGCATTGATACTTGTATTTTCACTAGCTTACAATACCAGTGGTATCTTAAGGTAGTTTGTTATACTGTACTGTACCTGTAAATGGATTAACCTGAATGGTGAAAATCCCTTGTAAACAATGCTTATATGACAGTGAGTTGATCTATTCAAGATCTAGATTGCTTAGAAATAATGCATACTTTGTCAGTTCGTTTAATGATGTGTTCTTCCCGGTCATTATTGATGCTTCGATTCTCTCTCTCTCTCTTCCTTTTAATTAGTTACGTTATAGTATATCAAATGTGTCCTCAAGGCTTGTTTCTTATTATTTTTATATACTGTCAATATGTTCTATGTATTGGATAACAGTGAAACTTGTTAGCAGCTGCTTTAGAATTAAGAATAAAAGATTGTTAAAGCTATCACTGAGATGCCAACATAAAGTGCAACTAAACAAAATTGATAATGTATACTAAGAGAATGAAGGAGAAAGAACAGTCCCGAGGAAGATTTTTATCAACTTGTACTAATTTCATTGATAGTAAAAGAAGAAAGTAGTGTACTGTTTGTGGTATATACCTGTGAAGTTGACATTTTCTGAAGACTTATCAGTGCTTCTGCAATGAAGCAGTTGAAAGCTGCTCTGCTTAGCAGGCAGTCGAGAGTTGCTCAGCTGAACAGGCAGTCGAGAGTTGCTCAGCTGAGCAGGCAGCCAAGAGTTGCTCAGCTAAACAGGCAGCTGAGAGTTTCTCAGCGGGCAGCTAAAAGTTTCTCCTCTAAATGGGCAGCTATATTTATTGTTAGGACTCTGGACGTGATAATGGTTAGTTGCCAAAAGGAAAATGTGGGGAATAATTTTGCAATTGAGGAAAAATTGAGGTCAAGGATGTTCAGTGTAGATGCAGAACACTACATTTGTTCATTTGATGCATCACACTACTGTGATTTCTGTGTGTAATGAAGTAAGGGCGAAGAGGTAGAACGGCCTATTGACATAGCTCGAGTGCATGGGGGAAATGTTTAAAATCCTGGTTTGTGTCTCGGAGAGGCTGCAGGATCCAAGTAAATTCAGTAGAATTTCTGATTGCAATTCTTATACCATGTCGTAGCTCAGTCGATTAAGGCAGCGTCTGGGATGCTCTTGGACGTTGGTTCGAATCCTCGTCACGGCCCTTGTGGATTTGTTCAGTGACCTCTTAAATTTGCGGCACGCATGCTGGGATAGCGAAAGTGTTAATAAGAACTGTATTTCTCCACAAGTTTATCAGTCTTGTTTTGTGTTAGTGGTGTTATCAAGTTTATGTACTGGTAAGTAGGGAATTCAACATTATTGAAAATTGTTTCATATTTTGCTTAACTTGTTAATTGTTAGCTTAAACAAATTTTAGGCTTCCTTGCATAAATATTGTCACAAAGCATGTAGGAAATTAAGATGAGTGCCATACTTTTGTGCATTAACAGTGAAAAAGTGCAGTTTTGGTGCTCATGCTTGACACTGTTTAGAATTATTTATTTTCATATTACAAAAGTATCCAGCCTTAAGCAAATTGTTAATTATAATTTTGTTTCAAATCAAATATTATTTGTGACATCATGTGTCTTGATATGTAACTAAATTGTTGTTAAGCAAATAGTAACAGAAATAATTAGTCAGATATGATGTGTCTATCACACGACGTGATAGTGGTCCAGGACGGACCGAAACATTGTCATTTCTCCTTCATCTGATGTGTGGTTTGGTCGTCATATCTTCAGCCACGTTAGTGTGACTCATATTTTGACTGGGCCTAATTCAGAGAGGTGTAGTGTAAAGATTAGATATGATAAATATATGGAAGATGTGAATCTGTTTGAATACTAGAGATGGCATGAAAGCAGTGTACCATAGGTGGAAAAATTTGTACAGGTGTCCTCACACTATAAACTCCATAGTATCTATGACATTGCAAATATTATATAAACATAATATCAAGCATAAATACAGTTTTATAAATAATCCTACCTTTGGAAAAAGTTAGCTTAACGATACACTTATTATACTGTACATGCTTGGTATAAGATACAATGTATATTGTTTCAATATGTCCATCAATGTTGCTGAACACTTGTGTACAATATCACATAGGTTTCTTGCACTGACTTTGTGACTTTTTTTTTTTTTTTTATCATGCATTGTTGGGGTTAACCTCCAGAAATTAGTGTTCAGTGTCAGTCGATTTTAATCAATTTCTTAAATACACAGTATATTGTCTTCTTTATTTAAAAAGAATTATTAATTTTAATTGCATATCAATACATGCAAAAGCACATGTATAAAGAGAATGTTTTATAAGATAGATATATGTTTGAGTTGGTAAAGCCAGTGGAAGGGAAGGGCACTAATCAGGAGAAAGCACCAAGTCAATACAACTATTTAGCACTTAGAAGAGATCAGGATAAGGGTTTGGGATGGGATGGGATGGAATGACACCCAACCACTTGGACGGTTGGGGATTGAACGCCGACCTGCATGAAGCGAGACCGTCGCCCTACCGTCCAGTCAAAGTGGTTGGGTAAAAAGCCATCGTGTAATGAACAAGGAATAAAAAAAACTAATAAAAATTTAACATTTATTTATTTTAAAAGTTTTGTATGGCAATGAGTCTTAACCCTTTCACATTTGTGGAGCCTTGCTAATTTTAGGAGCTACCAGCATCTTGGGCCAAGTACAAATTACTTGGCAAATACAGGGCAAAGTGCAAATCACTTGTCGATATTTTACTTCCAATGCATACTGCAAAGTTACTATGCATGGTAAAATGTTCAAATTAGTATAGTTTTTTAGCTAAATACTTTCTGATGGTATTTTCAAAAATACAATAAAAGCAAAATAAAATAACAAAAAAAGGAGAGTTAAAGTTAGCCAACATGACGTTGAATATGATTACTACAGTCGTCATTGGAATATTCTGGAATTTTTACCAAATGACATCTGTAGGCATCAAAAATATATTAAAGGGTTAAAAAAAAAGTTTAGGCAATGAATTACCTAGGCGAGACTAGGAGACTATTCAACTTTTGGTTTACAAGAGTACTACTCAATGCTCATCCAGAAGACAGATTCCCAGTGTAAGCTGCTTCATTCCAGAATCTTTTTGTGACATGGATCACTCTGACCATTGAAAACATAGAACTTTTTTCCTTTAAAGTTCATTATCTTGAGGACATTTCAGCAGTTTTCATATCAAGTCACAATCGACTTGAAAATGGTCCAGGACGGACCGAAACGTCGTCGTCCCTTCATTATCTAGTGTGGATTGGTCAACATATTTCAGCCACGGTATTATGACTCATCGCCTGCATATTTTCAAATCAAATTTTTCTCTGCTCCTTGTTGGGCCTCTCGACCACAACCCTTTCTAGCTGCATGTCCTTCATTAATCAAGCTTACCAATGTAGTTCTTTAGAAAAAGACAGGGAAGCTAATCATTTGACAAATAAGCAAGATAACTGTATTTAGACTTGTGGCATACAGACAAAACTTCTCTAATGAACATATTCATCACAGACTCATCTGTTGCATTAAAATTTGGCTAAATTGTTTATTTTGTATAATTGACTTTTTTTTTAACACAGTAGAAAATGTTTGTGCATAATTTGAAAAATAAATTTGTTTTAATTTGTGAGTCACATTAGCCTCAGGAGTATAATGGCTTACTGCAAGTGTAGGGAGCAAGGGATTGTTACAATAACCCTTACCACGGAAAGATCCAGAAAGTAAGTGAAGCAAAATGGGCAACTGCATGGTTAACTGTGAAATAAGAAGTGAAGCAACAAATGATCAATTCACTGGCCAGTTTGAACTGCCTTTGATTACAGAAGACCCTTTTAGTTGACAGCACTACCGGCAGTTGTCATTTCCCTTGGCAAAACATCTTGATCTGGAGCTGAAGACTACAAACTGAAGCATCTTATAGTAGGGAAAGGAGCCATCAAGACCCAGCCAGAAGGGCATTTTCATCACAGTCAATACTGTTTTTCTTTTGTATGATATTTACTCATATAGGGGTATAATGTGTGTGTTTAATTTATTTGTATTTGCTTATACAATATTTTGTATACAAAATCAGCAAATTACTGTACTGTATGTGCAATGTGTGGTATTTTGCTGATTTACAGTCCCTAAATACACACAACTGAATGTTTGATATTTTCCTGTGGATCTGAAGACAACAAACTACTATCAAAATAAATCATTGATGCCATTTTGTCCCGCTTTCTAGACAAATGGGTTCTGTTGGAGCAGGAGCCTACAATTCAGGACAGTATTTAATCATAAAAAGCAAAGCTGTAGTTATTTATTATAATAAAAAGTCAGTTGAATTAGTCATTTATTATATCCTTTCATAGTCCCAAAACATAGTACAGTAACTATTGTACAGTATTTGATATGGGGAAAATTGCCGAATATATTGCAATGAAAAATGTTTCCTAATGGTGAGTAGCATGAGTTAGGAAGCTGTTGTGGATTCTAGGGAAGGACAGTAGTTGACCTGTGGGATGGATTAATTGATAAAGATT